TCCCAGCAAAGGGCTTGCAGTACTCATCATGAACATAGTTACAGCGACGGACGAAGCGCACCCCATCAACCGCGTCACGACGAAAATGGAAGATCAACCGGCCGCGATAGCCGCCCACGCCGTAATGACGATCGCAGACGCCATCAACCTTATCGAGACACGCGAAATCGCACTCAGGCTAGACAAAATGGCTCCTACAAGCCACCAATACCGGCGACGCGGCTACTCTTGCTTAAGAAACATGATGATAACCCAGAATTAATGTTGGGCGATACAGCCGGTCGAGCTACTTATAGAGATGTTGATGAACTGTCAGATAGTGACGAAGCAGAGATGGATATTTCGGACAACTCCGATTCAGATGTGGCCGAACCTGCAGCCAAGCGAATGCGAACATCCGAGACCAATGTTACAAAACCAGAGCAGGATGCGCCGAGATGGTCTAACCCTGACCCGTATACTGCGCTGCCTCCCCCTGATGAGAGTACACGCAAAAAGAAAGACATGGTACAGCTGATCCGCAAAGCACGCGTAGAAGCGGAAGCAAAGCAGCCTGCAGCGCCCGTGGAGGGGCTAGATTTTATTTCTTGCGATTTCAGTGACAACGAAGGTGAAGGTAAGGCAACTGCGGACAGGCAACAGGGATAGTACGAATAGACAGTTGCAATGGTTAACCGGCAAATAGGTGACAACCGTCGCGAAGCAACATCAACACACCCGGCAACTTATTCACACAACCCTCCTACTGACGAGACTCGAATTAAACGCACAGAAACCCAAACCATCAAACCTAATACCAAAGGCACTAGCAACAACCCTATTGACCTAACAGCTTCCACTTCGCTCGGTACTCGTAAACGCACTTTTGACGATACAATCAAGTTACCCCATACGACTTTGAAGATCTCGATGAAGTTTAGCGGCGGTGGAAATGTTTTGCCAGCATGGCAACCTAAAGATGACAATCCATGTCCTTGGGCTATAACTGATCATTCGACAACGCCGTCTATGGCCACGCGGTAAGTGTGTCCTTTCTTCTTCTTCGAGGATCCGTACTTACTTGCTTTAGGTTGCATAAGGAGATTGTTGATTTCTACCTGTATGTTCGTCCTCGCGACTTTGAAGAGCGCGTCCGCAACGAGATGCTCAATAATCTCCGGGCGGTGGTTAAGAAGAAGTGGACTGATGCTGAGGTCTATCCCTTTGGCTCCTTCATGTCTGGTCTCTATCTGCCTACTGCAGATATGGATGTCGCCATCTGTTCCAACACATTCATTAATCGTGGCATTCCGCGATACGATAAGAAGAAGGATCTGTGGGCCTTCAAGACACACCTCATACATCACGGAATTCCCTACAAGAACGACGTTGAAGTGATCGCAAAGGCCAAAGTCCCACTAGTGAAATTTGCTGACCGCGAAACCGGCCTAAAGGTTGACATCTCGTTTGAGAAGATGAATGGTCATCAAGCCATCAAGACATTTTTAGACTGGAAAGAGAAGTACCCAGTGATGCCAATCCTCGTTGCCGTCATCAAGCATTTTCTGCTCATGAGAGGACTCAACGAGCCTGTCAATGGTGGCATTGGAGGCTTCTCCGTCATCTGCATGGTTGTCAACTTACTCAACCAGATGCCGCAGGTTCAAAGTCGTTCTATGAAACCCGAGCATCATCTTGGAGAGCTGCTGATGGAATTCCTGGATTACTATGGTAATCATTTCCAGTACAGCACAGTCGCGATTCGCATGAACCCTCCCGGTCTCGTTTCCAAGGTGAGTTCTAGAAAATCCATCTCGTGGTTCATGCTAATTAGGTATGTATACTTAGAGCAAAGTAAACAACGTCGTTTATCGCAACTTAGATCGATTATCTATTCTCGATCCCAACAACCCCGAGAATGACATTGCGGGCGGATCTAAGAATACCCCAACCATCCTAGCCCAGTTCTCGAAAGCTCATTCGACGATCCGAGCGCGTATGGCTGAGCTTGCAAAGGGAACTAAGACTGGAGGCGTCAGTAACACAATCCTTGAACCATTATTTGCGGGCAACTATTCTATCTTCCAGGTCCAGAGAGACTATTTAGAACGCCTAGCAGCACAAGGGATCCCCGACTACCAAACTCGGGAACACGACTCTGGTGACGTTGTTTGGTAATCCAGTGGTATAATACCAGCCTCACCATTACCCTGGAGCTCCACTATAGAAATTACAAGATGCTACTCGTAGTAGTAGGCATTCCGGACAATCCTTGATGATAATCATGTGGTTATGAGACCTATTATTAGTGTTTGGTTCGAGGCGGCTAGTCATGTTAGAGAGTGCACCGACACCGGAATCTCCTTAGGTATCATTAAGGTCCATGGACATACGGCGTTCCGGAAGACGGCCAAGTGCACAGATACCGTTTGTTTATCTTGCTTTTCAACCACTTAGGTGCTCGACAGGAGTCATCCATTCCGCCGAGGATGGCACAATGTATTTTAGGAGCCGAATGCTTGGCCGACGCATTCCCATGTCGTTGCTAAGCCTCGCTCTGCAGTCTTGACGTACCCCCCTTGCTCCATTATGCCGGCCAGCTTAGATGGCCTTTAGCCAAGTGGCAAGGGAAAATTCAGATTCACATTTTTTACTCTTTCTTTACCTGATACTGTCTCCAGTGGAGAGCTTAATGTGACCGACCCCGAATAACCGATGTTACTCGCTAACTGGGAATAGGACTAAACCAATTCTACCTTAAGATAGATTTATTACTCCGGTAGCTGAGGCTATTTCTTGCTAACAGTTCACAGATGACATGGTTTATTAGAAACGCATACACGTCTCGTTCAACCGAGTCGTGGTAAGCCAGGTGGGTTGATATTGCTTCTAGCGCGTCAACATCCCTTATTTTCTCACCTCGCACTGGGCTTTATGCCGGGTCGCGGAGAGGATTTCGCTTAAGACTTGATTTCAGGCACATATTACCACTTCTCACCGCCGCAATCATAACCCAGCAAGCTATGAAGGAAATAAAAGGCAATGGCTGATGCTTCGTGGTGGCAATTCAGGGGGATACGGTTACAGCATTAATTGCGTACCCCTATTATCTTCCAAAATTCGAGTGAGATTATACCAATATGGAAGCAATAATACATCGTTTGCGTCTGAATAACTACATATAGAATACCCATACATCCAGGTCGATCAGCCCTTGGGTATCATATCAAAGTATCAACTTTTCCCTATTACTTTACATGAATGGTCATCATGCATCCAAGTGCTACACCATCTAATGCATTGTATCCTTTCCCCATACTGATCCAAATTTGAGCATCCACAAGGGAGACTACCCAAGACTTTACCGCTACATCCTAGCTCGGACGTGCCAGAGAACCTTATCCATACTATCGATAGATACCGTCATTTGGAGTTGATGTATATACAGCATTAGTCTCGTTATTTATTATGGGATATATCGTTAGCGATGTACACAGGCATCTTTGAGTAACCAAATTTTCTTACTTACTCTTTATTTGCCAGAACTCTGGTCTTAATCCTACCTCACTTGCATGCTTGATCCAGCCAGTGCAGTCGTCGGACCCGAACTCAATCGCTAGGAAGTCCTTTAATGGGTAGCAGCAGGACGCTAACAATGAAATTGCTATCATTAAAGGCCTCATGATCTCCTATTTAACAATACTTAGGGCCAGCTCCGGTCGAAGGTATTATGAATAAATGTAGGACTGATGGATAATTATTCTACTGTCGCAAAAGGCAACGCCGCCAGTTGAGAGCACGCAACCAGGGCTTATCTCTTATACGTGACATCTACGTAATCTTATATAATACAATATAGTCATCAATTATCGCCTCTAAGTAAGCTCTGTTAACTTCGGTATGCATGCTAAATAACATATTTTAACAAAGGAGGTCTCGAGGTCAATATAAAACGGTTAGGAGTTATCAAATTCGCGTAGAACGAATGGCCTGAGGGCTCGTCCACGCTACGGCCTGGCCCCAGAGTGCTACTGGTAATCTCACGAGAGACGTCGATTTTGACAAGTAGCTTAGCATTTCGTTATATTAATAATAGGAGGGCTCATCTTCGAAACTGAAGAGGCGAATCTCAGCGGAGCGAATATGATTTACCAGGTATGGATCTGTACGCCATGACTTGATTAAGGTATTCATCCGCTTTATCTCCTCGTTATCCATACCTATATCGTTCATTAAGAAACAGATGTTTTCATAGAGTACACGAGTCGCTATTTCTAAGAAACGCCGTGGTGTGAAGGCGAGAGAACAGAAGTCGGGATAACGATTGTCTGATGGTTCTATTCCGGCATCACGCTTATCCTCAAGAAAAAGAGAGAAAATTTACGGATCTGTACCGTGCACTATATAATAATCCTTGTAAATCTAAATACTGAGCGGTGTGAACGACTTGATTAACTGGACTTTTATATGAGTAAAAGAAGCCTGACTTTAGTAATAGCAGTGTCTTTAATTAAGTACTAATTTCAGCATACCTTAAGTAAGGTATAACCACTAATGGTAACTCATTAATACGTAGGTAGGCTTAAAGAAAGGGAATATCTTGACCTGATATATTCCCTATTTCGTATAGCAACCTTAATACTTGAGGCAATCTCAACAAGTATGCATTAATCAAATTTTCATCGTGCCTTTTTTTCTTTTTTCTTTTTTTCTTCAAATTTCACATCCGAGTATATCGTTTATTGTTCAATTATAATATTAGCAGCTAAAGATGATATGTCATGAGTTGATACATTCGTGCACTTGTATAAATATTCAATAAACCTCAGTATTTACTCAATTATAGTTGGACAAAAGAAGCCATAAGATCTAGGTTAGTTAGTTGAGTCTTCGGGAGATATTATTAACCAAACACTTCCCCCCCAAACTCTTTAAGTCTTAATTAATAATGACAACCCCAACTCTCTCATAAGCAGAGAATCATCTTTACACTAGTTTAAGTTTTGCGTCGAAAGTTTATATTTCTATGAAAACTCAACGGCAATTAACTCGGCTCAAGAACTTAATATTATCATGTGCCCAACTAATTCCCACGTCATCACCATATCCGGGTATAATTCCCCCGATTGGGCATTCAACATCATCTCCAAAATGAGAAAAAGCTCATCGTATTTGAAGTGTCAAGTTGCGAAATAACTTGGATACTAATCATATTTTTAACATTTTAATGTATTTCTATTCTAGTTGCATATGCCGACAGAATGATACTATCTGCTTCTGGATTTATCGCCCAGCTTCACGCTCTGGTTCTTGATCCCACACCGCGACCAGGTCTTCATCCCATACCAGGAAGCCAACCTCTCACGTTCAGCGCGGCGGTAATGCCGCCGCTGACATATTATGTCGCTCTCCTTCTCCTTGCCCCACCGCCTCCGCCAGTTATCGACTCCGTGTATGTCAAAGGAATTCGCAATATACTTGCTTTGATTTCCGGGGTTCTCTTCTTCCGTTTACCACTTGCATACCATGTTCCGCAGAGCATCGGACTCACTTATCAGCTTGGCCTCGTCGGCCTTTATGGCGGGTGCAGAGTGATAGACGCCTTTTTTATAAGCCCCTATTTCTTCAAGCACATTCCCCGGCGAGTTAAGTATGTGCATAAGCCGAGAGTTGAAATATCTGCGCCCGCAGATGCTACCATGGCGAGAGCATGGTCCGACGGAGGGGTTAAGGAGCCATATTCGCATAAGGAGAGAACCATAGCTGGTGACGAAATTCCAGCCAGAAAATCAACCCAAGTCGAGGTCGTCCCAAACCGTAGCTCTACGCAAACCAGAAAAGGAAGGCGTTCAAGCTTTCCCATCGGTATTAGCCACGCAGCCCGCAGGATGTCTAGTTCAATTCCCGACGCGGCCTGCGACTCATATTACGCCGTGCAGCGCACGCTACACGGGCCGGATCCACAACCTGTCCTCGAAACGGCGACAACTGAATGCGGCTGGCCGCGAACTCTCCGCGACCGCGCCTCCTGGGCCCTCGAGCTCGAGCTCAGCATGCGTGGAGTCGGCTTCACATGGACGACGGCCGATGTGCGGCACACGCGCAGGACTTGGCTGCCTACGGTCGGCAACCGTGTCCACAGCATCCTCGTACATACCACCCCAGTCTTATTAGCGAGTTGGATAATCATCAGGGCTACATATTTACGGTATCTTGCTACGTCTATAGATCTGGCATGGTCTAGTAGTGACGAAAGACAATCTCGCGAGCTTTTCGACGAAGCGCTACCGCTGCCAGTGCAATGTCTACTCACGGGTGCTTTAGGGGCATTTCTTATGGCAGCATTCTCGTTAGGCCATTCGCTTTTCGCAATAATGCTTAGCCCGCTTGCGCCTAGTCCCCTGGCTTTCTTCCCACCGCTATACAGTACTAGGATTTGGGATATCACGTCGGTGCGCGGGTTCTGGTCTTACGGATGGCATCGACTATTTGCGCGCCTGTTTCTTGTATATGGCGTCTGGCCTGGGGAGTGGCTTGAGAGAAAGCTAATGGGGAAGTGTAACGAGGATTCTGCAGACGTGGGTAAGGTCTTAGGTGGTTTTCTTTCTAGTGCTTTTGTTCATTCTTTCTCCGTAAGAGGAGTTTTAGGTGGCGATTGGCATAGCGCTGCAGGTGAAGCCAAGTTCTTTGCATTGAACGGTCTCGCTGTTGTGGTTGAAGGTGTAGTATCGAGAGCTGTGAGAAGCGCAAGAAATAAAAGGGGTCTAAAAGAGGTCATGTGGTATGATGGATGGATTGGGAGGATATGGTGGCTTATAGTTCTGTTAAGTTTAGGAAGAAACTTCGCAAGGGGTTGGGTTAAGTCAGGCTTGGTAAAAGAGATTGCAAACCAATAGCTGTTTACTAGAATTATTGAAATTTATTTATCACGAAGGTAAACTCGAAAGATGTTGTTTATTAAAAATCCTACATTAGGAGATTTAAAACATTAAATATTTACAATAGGGTATTATTAATTAGCACAAAAAAACACTTGATTTCTTTTGTAATTGTTAATACATAATTCTCTCCCACAATCTTAACAGTCAATTTATTGTTCATTGTTAGAAATTTCATCAATTAACCTCTTTGACATCCTAACCAGTACGTTATGTGACACAACGTCGAATTGCCAACGTGGCTATAGCAAACAACTATATAACGGAGTTTAAAGGCCTTACCCTTACTAAACTCCAATTCTCCTTTGTGCAACAGTAGTTCTATTTACTATATCTTGATTCCAAGCTTATATAAGCCTAACTATAACATATCATTCCACAGCTTGTTCGGATAGCTGCATTGATGTTATGGCACATGTACTGCCCATAGGCATGTAGATAACATGGACTAATCAAATTATGCAGATTTAATATATTATTTCAAAGTGCAAAGCTAACAGTGTGAGCTGATGTACAAGTTCTCGGCCGTTTAACGTTGGATCAAATACACGAAGGAATATGGTATGCGCTGTAACCCAATCATTCATTTATTTTTAAATCGTGGCCTTGCGTAGAACGAACACAAAAATGCCTAATTTATTAGGACTGCTGCTCCAACAGCTCCCAGTTACCAACATACATTAGGTATTCAATTTGTTGGTCAGATTGGCTGGTCTACACTGAGGGGGCGGTACTTGGCAACAAACAGATCCGGAAGCTCCTGAATCTTATCTTCAAGGATTAAACTTGGATGCTAACTAAAATATAGGTACCTAGCTTATCTATGTTTAATAATGCTATTCTACTAACCTAGGTCTCTAGGTTACCATCATGCCATTTTATCGACGGCCGTATCAACTTTCTTATATTTTATTAATACTGTCATAGCTTTTCCAGCCAATAAAATCCTTAGAATCGCCCTGCAATTAATAACCTTTTCTTTTGTGATTATATCTAGAAATTTCACGCAAAACTAGCTCTATCAAACGATACTAACTATTAAAGCTTTTGTATAATAGTATAGCAGGTAAATTGATTCTACCAAAAGTCCATCGGACGTGCGCTGAGGTGTGGCTAGCCAATGAGAGGCCAGGCCTATATGTGGCGTGAAAAAGTATAAGAAAAATATCACATAAAAAGACTTGTATCATACATTAACCTCACTCCAAACACCACCTACAATGTTACCTTATATCGGTCCTTGTTTGGGATGATAGTGGGAAGTGCTAACAATTTTCGTTTCAAAGCCATTTCCATCCCATGGAGCCCTTGGGACTCTTGGGGTCGGACCCCCACGTGCACAATCTTGACTTTCGTCGATTCTATCGTAGTTAACTTTCTTACCACTAAAGCCATTTTGGCGTAGATTTGTCAGGGCATATGATGCGGAGCCAGAGGAACCATGTGAGCCGGATGCTGGCTTGAGCTTATTGGCGAACACCTGGCCGTAGACTCGGAAGAGAGGAGCCAGCGTGGGAATACAGGCAACAATGATACCAATCCATAACTCGAAAAAGCTGATTAGACCGATCAAGCCGAGGTGTAAGGTAAAATCAGGGTCGGCTCTGGTTTGAACAGTTTCCGTGATCCTCCATATCATGATTGCAATCGTGCTGTAAACGTGTCAGTGGACTCTGGTTTCTCGTAATTATCCCGGCGGCTATGGACTGGGAAACCACCTACGCAAGACCAAAGCTGAACATAATCGTCACTACAACCTTTTTACGCAGAGGGAGTTTCAAGCCCCAGAGCGTAGGCATGGGAAGTAAAATTATCGCTAGATCGAGTAACAAATTGACGGCGACGGTAGAAAAATCGCTGATTTGCATATCGCGACAGTGGCCGTCCGGACTCGGGTTCCAAAGTTGGTCCACTGGTGTACAGTTGGTGAGGTATACTGTGATGAAGGATATACCGTAACAGCCGTTGATTACTATGAGAACCCAGCACCAGCGTTCGAACTGTCTAATTGCGAAGATACGTTTGTAGAGCCAAAGAATGGACATCTTAACGAACACGCTCGCAAGTAGCCAACACAAATCTGATGTGAGGATGAGCTAGCGCCGCAGAAGTTAGCATGATACTTCTAGGCGCCATACCTGTTCCTACCTTTGCGTTGATAACGACTTCTTCAGGAGATAGCTCCGCTCCTGATTTGCCGAGTCCGTTAACTGCGGCCCAAAGGCCAACACCACCGAGCGCTATGCAATTTGCCTGTGATTCCATGGTAAACTTCGCGTTCATTGTATGTGTTGCTTGGTAGAGACTTACATAGGCGAAAAGGATGAACGCATCATCGAGATAGAGGGAACGGTGCGACAAACGCGCAGCCCATACACGGAGCAAGATAAATATACCACAAATAATCGTGAATACTATAACGAATATGAAGAAATTTAAGCCACTAGAGCTGAAGTTCGCCATTATCTAGGCAAAATGCGCGTATTATACAGCAAGGTCGTAGGTACTCAAATATACCGGCGTTTGCTTACGCGGGATCAAAACAGCTAGAAGGACTGGGCAAACTTATTGTAGAAGACGAGGACAGGCCCTTATGAAACTGGCCTGAACTTATTAGCAGCATAGATGGCGTTGGTGGCATAGAGAACGTTGGTGGTATAAGGGGTTAGTGTGGTATAGAGAGGGGGGTGGCATTAACACAGCCTGCTTGATTGACTTTGGTTAATATGTAGGTACCACCCCTGAATTATGCATCAGAACGTACCAACAGTACTGTGAGGAATTTAGGACAACGATATCACAGACTGCTATAATCCTTCGGTGATTTCTATGTAACATAGGTAGGTACGCATAGTGCGTTGGTAACATATACCCATTGTGATGCTACCAACTTATCAGATACCACCAAGTAACTTCCATATCATGCCAGATTGTGCCAGAAAATATTGTCATGCTTGATATTTTGGACCTCTTAGAAATCAGTTGGCTGTTCGAGCTTGATATCTACAATTTCATACTCACAGCCCCTAATATACGCCTATTCATAAGCCCACCGCAGTCATGATACCCGCCACATACCTGAAACTCTCACAGGGGGCTTTTCAAGCCCCCTCGCTCATTTGGGCTTTTACTGAAAGCGATTTTGCTACTTTTGTTATCCCAAACACGGTTTTTGGGATACTCGGGGCTGTTGCAACTTCCCTCTCAAAAGGGGATCAACCATCTGGATTCGAACTACTCCAGCGGTTCTCAATAGTTGTTGCCTATAACTGGAGCAACGTGCTCTCGTTTGATCTCGCGAATCAAAGAGCTCCTGAATCTGTTGCTGAAGACTGCATCAATAAACCTTGGCGGCCTATTCCTACCAACAGAATCACCAGCGACCAGACTCGCCGCGTGATGCTTGTCTCAATACCCCTCACCCTCTGGTTCAACTATTACCTCGGGGTATGGGAACAAGGGCTAGTCATCCACATCACCACCTGGCTTTATAACGACCTGAGGGGGATGGACGAGGCTTTCGTCCGCGAGATACTGATATCCGTCGGCTATGGCATGTTTAATAGCGGCTCGCTACAGATTGCCCTTGGAGACCAAACCGGCATTAATTGGAACGGTATGGTTTGGGTATGTATTATAAGTGGTGTCATATTGACCACCATGCAAATCCAGGACTTGAAAGATCAGGCTGGAGATCGCCTTCGGGGACGGAAAACAGTAGTCTTATATCTTGGCGAGGAAATATCCAGGTGGTCAATTGCTTTCTTCGTATATTTCTGGACTTGCATTTGTTCCATATTGTGGGACCTTTCAGTATGGTCCTGCGCTGTACCAGGAATTCCTGCCGCCGTGATTATGTGGCGGGTACTAAAGATGCGGAATCAGAAAGACGACCGCCGAAGTTGGCAATTATGGTGTCTTTGGCTGCTTAGTCTCTATTCACTGCCCTTGCTTGGACGGTCAGATGGCTTTAAGTCGATTCTATACTAGGTCAGAATTGCTGTTATGAACTTGGGCAAATTGAAGTCTCAGCGCTGTAACGTTAGTAAAAGCGGCGAATAAACAATATCATTAGTTTTTAAAGTGCACATCGCGTTGATATATTAGAACGTTATGATTATCAAATATTCCTGTATTTCTCAATGCTAAGTCGCTCCCAGTATACTCATCGCAGCTCAAAGCAGAGATGTAGGCTTCCTGGATTCGGTACAAACTGGTCTTTCAGATGCTCTCCCATGCCGCTTCCATCTTCACCCGGAGCGAAGCTGAACTGGTATTTCTTTACCAACCGTGCTATTACGAAGCGTAGAGAGTCTATGGCAAGAGGCCGTCCAACACAGCTTGTGTGACCCGTCCCGAAGGGCTTGGTAGCTGAAGGGTTGAGTAGCATCTCTGGGGAAGTCGTCCATCGCTCGGGGACGAATTTCAAGGGGTCCACGAAGCAATCTTGCCCTACAGGGAAAGAGAAAACCCCACCCATGATTAGCTAGGTGTTTAAATCTAAGAAAATGCTAACGTCGGGAGGTAATAGAAGGAAAGGTAATTGAAAAGGTGTCAAACATACTCCGAGAGATGAGATATTGAGGAGCTACGATGTTGGTATATGGTGGTATGAATCTCCCTGCAATAGTCATACCCTTCTGTGTGGTCATACGTGTTCCGCCAGTCATGAGGGCAGGGTACAGACGCAGCGTCTCGTCAATGCAGGCATTCAGGAACGGCAGATTAGCTAACACCTTAGTATCAGACACATCAATGTCCATGAGCTCATAGTATAGCTTTTCTTGGGTAGTGTGATCCCTTCCCAGCTCGGTGAAAGTTCCCAACAATGCATTTGCGATTGGCCCACTGCGTGAGAGTTAGTATATTGGCATCCCAAGTGGCAAAATATGAAACTAGGGTTATATTGCCCACCTTCCGGCAACAATTGCTTGTAGGCTATCCCCGCTCAACCACGCCCGAGCGTCGTCGATTATCTTCTGGTTTTCCACGTCTTCCATCATGATGTAGTGCGTGATATCCGGCTCCTGATAACGGGAACTGTCCTTGATTCGCATATCCATCTGCGTCTGACACCAAGCGACCATGTCAAACCAGTCTTTAAGCTGTAAAATCCGAGGTGCCAGTTGGAAGCCCACGTGTATTAGCCATGGAGCCGGACTCAGAGGGCCCAAAAGTGACAGGGCGCGTTGCAGCCGGAAAATAACGTGATGCCATTCCTGGTTCTGTTGCATCCCAAAAGATTTTCCGAGGACAAAGTCCCCCATAGCGTCAAAGGCGAACCAGTAAAACAAATTTCGGGCGTTGGAGACACGCCTTCCCTTGGCCTCCGCCTCGATATGTCGGTCTAGCTCGTCAAGATGGCGCATGATCTTGCGGTCGTGGAGCTGGAGGGCTATGCGAAGCCAAGTATAATTCCACAGTTAGCAGAGTTCGGCATTGGAGACGCATACTATTGCCTGCAATTTATGGGATAGGCACGCAACGGACCTTTAGTGGAAAATGCACGATTCCACTGCCGTCGGCGGACAGCATGTGTCCCTCTGTCTCTCGCTGTAACAAGGGCCAGATTGGGTATCAAAAGATCATACCACTTCAGACATAGTTAGCTCAAAATTTAGAAAGGAAAACAGCGAGGTAGGCCTCACATCTGACTTCATGCATTCAGAATGGGGGCCATCCAGTGCCATAAAAATCTCTGGCCGGAATATGGTGAGCTCGCTAGGTCCTACATAGATTAGGTACTCGTCAGTTTCGTATTGTTAATTTTCAATATTTATATTCATATCACTTACCCGTTCGGACGAAGTCGCCGTACTTATTTTGCAACCTGTTAAGCACTACATGATTTTTAGAATCACGGCATGCCCATACATGCCATAGTTTCGTGATGCGTGCATACCAGGGCCCGGGGAAGGTGGTCTGGGTAAGTTGGTGAAAGAAGAAACGGTAAATAATGATACTAAACAATAATCCCGGAAGGTAACCAGAAGACATCAAGAGAAGCACGTCGAAAATTTTGCCGAATCCATGGCCCCGAGTTATATAGCTTGCCAGAGTCAGGACAAAAAAGATCCATAAATGACCCACGATAATTCGAGGTGCTTGTATATGCCATTCGCCCTTTATGAAGATTCCATGATGAGCAATAAGACCACAGACAATGCCGACCATCCAAGCGTCAAGTGTTGGGTTCCCAGAGAAGGACATATTAAGAACTTGTCAAATTTAGTCTGTTACAGTAAAGAGACATGGAAAACTGGATACATAGGTAGGTACCTAGGTTAGCTAGGTATGTATGCTTCAAGTTGAGAAAAACTGTCATTAAAATACCCATATCTTCGCTATGTTAGGTAGGTAGTACCCATTTAGATCAAACTTACCAAGAATACTATTAGATCGCCTAAAGTCACATTAGCGATAGGTACGGCTTACTGGTGATAGATTATTGTTCGTAACTTAGACTTACATGTTGCTGCACAAAAAATGAAGATGGGTGTGTATCTAGAGAGGTAGTTGGCACTTGGCTGGTGTGCTCAATGCACGCATAGTTCATAATTATTGGACAGGTTGGAAGGCTTTCACATTACAGTATTGAATGGATACGACATCGGTAACAACAACATACATAAAGTGCAAAAATATAGCCAACATGCGCCGCGGCGTAACTATGTAGGATGCTACGATGCAAGACCCACCTAGAGATACCATCCGTGAACCACTTAGACTATCAGTATCTTAATAACGCAATGCATGAAGGTTGGAAGGTTTTCAGGAAATTAAGAAGCAAATTCAACATAAAGAATGCATTGCATAGCCATGCACGGAAGAGGACATCCTTCTCGAGCAAGGCTCACCTATGCTAGTCAAATAATGTTTACGATATGGATGCGCAACATAGGCTCTATTATTCCTAATGTAAACTACCCTGCTAAAAGGCATACATCCACACAAGGACGAATGTAGAAATTAGATTTTTAAAGCTGAGATTTTGAAACCACCGGGGCACAGGCGCTGGAAGACGCCTTCAGGGTCATATTTCCACGCCGCCTCTCGGATCCTGCGAACGTTCTCTGGACCGTAACTCTGTAGAACCTCCTGACTGGAATGGGAGTAATTGAGGTACATCCACGGCATGACGCCACCCTCGATGTTGTTGGCGAAGGCACGCACTTCATCAACCAATGCGCGAACCTTGGGACGAGCCCATGCCTCTAACTCGGCGGTACGGACACTGACAGATGCTTGGATCACGATAGCATCGCCGGTATTTTGCTCAAGGCCAAGTACATTACCACTACTGTTAGCAACATGTGACTTCTGCACGAATAGATAGGGCAATGGCTGAAAGGAGACGTGCGAGGCGAAGTCCTGGTCGGGAATGCCTGCCTGGAGCTCCTTCGCCATTTGATCATGCAACTCAGCAGCTTTTAGAATGATAGAAGCATCATTCTTGATTGTCAAAGTGAACCAGATGTTGCTAGAAGGTAGGTAAGAATTAGTCATAGTTAACACGAGTAGTTAGGTTGCGATGCTTAGATATACTTACTAGTAGTTGGGCGGGAGCGAGGAATATGTGATAACTTCCTGAAGCGTGGTTGTCTTGTAATTGTTCATAATTTCAGGCAATGCTAAAAATTTCTGTAAACTAGGAGGCTTCTCAATAGCAGCCATGTTATTCGCTATGGTAAGGCAAATGTTGCCCCCAAATCTGGGTAGGTAGCCGACCACAAATTGCATGTTGGTGTACAGATCGCTTGCATTGTTGGTCGTGAAGTCAACTACACCTTTGACACCGGCCGGGATGACATCTAACGGATGAATAGCCAGTCCACCCCATACTGGGCCGCCTGGTATAGTCCGCATGGTAAAACGAGTGACGATACCAAAGTTGTTGCCTCCGCCTTTCAAAGCGCAGAAGAGGTCTATCGATCATAAGTCAGATCTAACCAAGGCCACAGAAAGGACAAGTGAACAGAAGCTGTTTACCGGCATGATCACCCTCTGCTTCAGCAGTGATGATTCTCCCATCGGCCAGGACAACATCGTAGGCTATAACACTGTTGCAGGCCAAACCATAAAATGATGCGTAGAACGTGTTTCCGCCGCCTAGTAGGAAACCACCTACGCCAACATCTGACTCTCGGCCGCCAGCGACTCTACGGCCATGTTTCTCGAGCTCGTCGTAGACATCTTTCCACTTTCCTCCAGGTCCTAGGTGTACAATCTGGTTAGTATCATCATACTCGGTTGAATTCAAGAGACCCAAATCTAAAGTAACGCCGTCAGTGATGTTGTTGCTGCCGGCCCAGTTGGTATGACCACCAGAACGGATAGCGAAGAGTTGATTCGCCTTTGCAAGGGCGACGACCGCTTTAGACACCTCTTCTGCAGACTGTGGCTGAACGATACAAGACGGTCGTAATTTTGCGCTATTACACCAGTAAGAATCAATCCGGGCGGCGTAAGCAGCATCGGTTGGCAATAATACGCGGGATTTGAGACCATTTTGGATTAGGGGTTCAGCCTGTGAAGGATAATGGAGGCTATCAATGCTCGCCATTTTGCGGGTGATTCGTGTTAGCGGATGGGTTTTACCCAGCACAAATAAGACAAAGAATGATGCTGATTTATAATGTGCCAATTCTTGAGTAACTGCCTACCTACTGGGTAAGTATAATGTAGGTTAGGTACCTAGGTAGGTAGGAGGCACGGACTAGGTAGCGTCGATAGCATTGTTGGTTACACATGGAAGGTGCAATTAATATAGGTGCATGGTACCTACATGCAGGTTGGTAATAAATGCAATTACCTAACCTAGGTAGGTAGGTAGTGTAGCATTGCTAAATAGGAGAGTTGCCTCTTCATACATAAGGTAGGTAAGTACCTATGTACATAATTAAGCAACCTAGGTAGGTACCACCTAGGTAGGTAGGTATGTAGGTAGGTATTTATCTCCCAGCCTTCAGCCTTTACCAGAGAACTACGCACTCAACCACTTTTCTTCATATTCGTCTTTGCAGAATATTCTTCATCATGCCCACTATCCTAATCACCGGCGCTAACCAAGGTAAGTAGCAGTCTATGTAGTCATATTCCTAGCAGACTACTACTGAATTTCTTGTCCTAATGCTAATATACTGTAGGTATTGGGCGCGCACTTGTTGAGGCTTACTTGTCACGCCCAAACCAAACCATTATCGGCGCCGTCCGCAATCCTGAAAGCACCACGCTCAGGAACATCAAGCCGGCGGAGGGTAGCAAGCTGCTGGTCGTCAAGATCGAAGCTACATCCGAGACAGACCACGCTGTAGCAGTTGACCAGATCAAGGCAGCCGGCATTAATGCCCTCGATGTCGTTATAGCTGTGGCTGGCATCAATCCATCCAGTGCTTTTGCTGACGTCAAAGACATGGACATCAATGCCTTGCGTGACATCTTTGATGTCAATACATTTTCCTTCGTGAGACTTTTCAGTGCCGTGTACCCGCTGCTCAAAGCATCAGCTAGGTCTCCAAAATTGCTAGCCATCAGCTCCAGTGCCAGCCAGATTGTCGAGATGGAGCCTAATATCTCCGTAAAGGTTGGCGTCTATGGTGCCAGTAAGGCAGCTCTCAACTACCTCGTCCGGCGTGCGCATTTCGAGAACCCATGGCTAACTGCATGGGTCATGGACCCGGGTTTCGTGCAAACGGCGACCGGGAACGCCCATGCCAAAACTTGGGGCATGGGGAAGGCACCCTATTCTACAGAGGACATTATCCCAGGTTTGATGGGGAAAATTGATGAGGCTACGCGAGCTGAGACGTCGGGAAATTTTTATAACTTCGATGGCACGCTCCTAGCCTATTGAGGTGATGCATCAAGAAACCCACCTATATTCAATATTGGAAAATGATAAATGAGAATGACTTGGATCGACCACATCTATCTGCCCCGTAAATTCTGATAATTACTTGGCTACTTACAGACCCCTCAACTACTCGTCCTAGTATAGCATAATCTAAGTTCCGTAATGGTGGTCTGAAATCTAGTTCACATATAAAATACCTTAGGTACATAATATATGCTGAATTGTTGACACTGTCTAGAGCCTTACGGACTCCAACGCAGATCGCATCCCTTTACCTAGAAAACTTTGATCAGTAACCGAAGAGCTAACGACTTATACCGCCGGCCCTATGATAAACCAAGCTATCTATGCCGTATACTACCTTGTGAGTTTGAAGGATCGATGCCTTCATACCTTCACGCCTCTACGCCTCTACGCCTCTACGCCTCTACGCCTCTACGCCAATGCGTCTTCCAACCAACAAGCATACGGCTTACCACATGGTACGATAACACGCGAACTGAAACCAACGATACTTTAGACTCTTATAAATAGTTTACTAAATAGTTACCCCGAGCTACTGTCGCAGTCGCGACTCTGAACACGAGGACATTTCCATTCTCTCTCACTTGCATTCTAACCAGTCACACACACAACATACATACCACTAATTTGCGCCATGGCCATTCAGTCGCTCTTATCTATAGTACCCATAGTCCTCGCCGCCAGTAGTTTCTCATTCGTAAAGGCGGCATCCAGTACTTTTCCCAACCCGCAGCCCCCAAATGGAGACAATTGTCGATGTTTTCCCGGCGATGCGTGCTGGCCGACACCAACGGAATGGTCCTCGTTTAACGCAACGGTGGGTGGTCGTCTTATCGCTACGACCCCCATTGCTGCATCGTGTCACCAGTCGAATCTGGCCAATTACGACGCCCAGGCATGTCAAGCCTTGCGTGATGTGTGGTGGTTCCCCGAGACACACCTTGCGACGCCCTCGTCTCCCATGGCCCCTTTTTTTGCTAACGCCAGTTGTGATCCATTTACAACGCCCACGGACCAGTGTGTTATTGGCGCGTATGTCCAATATGCTGTAAAGGCCGCCGATGTCGCCGATTACCAGGCAACGCTCGCCTTCGCAGCCGCGAAGAATATCCGCCTTGTGATCCGCAACACGGGCCATGACTACTTCGGGAAGTCGACAGGAGCCGGGGGGCTTGCCCTGTGGACGCATTTCCTTAAGGATACAGAGCTAATCGATAACTATGAGTCAACGGCTTATACTGGAAAGGCTCTGAGGCTTGGCGCTGGTATCGAGGCTCTTGAAGCTTACCAGGCCGCCGACAAAGCCGGGGTTGCAATCGTTGGAGGTGGTTGCTCCACCGTAGGTGTTGCTGGTGGTTACTCCCAGGGTGGCGGCCAAGGGCCCCTGAACTCCGTCTTCGGCCTTGGGGCCGATCAGGTCCTGGAGTGGGAAGTTGTCACGGCCGGGGGCCAGCACCTCGTTGCCAGCCCGGCTAAGAACAGTGATCTATACTGGGCACTATCGGGTGGTGGCGGAGGCACCTATGCTGCGGTTATCTCGATGACGGTGAGGGTACACCAGCTTACGAAAGTTTCTGTTGCGACCTTGAATTTCACCACAAGTACGAACGTCTCCGCGGACCTTTTCAATAGTGCCGTGCAGACTTTCCTCTTGACGCTGCCCAGACTGGGAGAGGCAGGTACTTGGAGTGTCTGGCTGTTAGCAACTGGTGTGTTCTCACTAAACCCTATCGTCAGTCCTGACCTGGATAAAAACCAGCTTCAGGCTCTTCTTGAGCCTACACTATCCTTCTTGGATAATAATGGCATTCCATATAGTAAGTAATCTCATAACATGAAGAGACATTGCACTTGTACTGACAAGACATTCAGACTACCAGATTCAACAATATAGTTCTTTCCTGGAAGCATACACTGAAATGTTTCCCGTTGATAACATTACCGAGTACAACATCGGTGGGCGATTGATCCCAAAATCACTACTCGAGACCAATTCTTCGGCAGCGTCATTTTTCGAAGCACTTAACTTCATTACCTCTCAAGGCGGAGTCGTGTCCGGAAACTCATTAGATGTATCAGGCTTTCCGAGAACCGGTGTCAATAATTCCGTAAATCCCGTCTGGCGTACTACCATCTTGAATATAGTCTTTGGCCTGTAAGTACTCCCGTGTGTGCCTATATGACCCTAGTGTGGTTTCCTGTCTATCTTTTAAGCTCATACTAACCCCCTTTCTTCTTCACAGGGCCTACAACGCCTACGACTTTCAGGCTAATATTGCGCTGCAGAACGAGGTCACTAATACCCTAATGCCGCGACTTGAGGCGCTGACGCCCGGCGGCAGGGTGTACCTCAACGAAGGAGATTTCCGCGATCCCAACTGGAAATGTAATTTTTATGGTGCCAATTACGCACGTTTATTGTCTATCAAGGACAAGTATGATCCTGATGGTTTATTCTATGGGCTGACGGCTGTTGGTAGTGATAGATGGACTGTTCAATCAGACGGAAGGCTTTGCCGGATATCATAGGTCTTATATATTTGACATATATGATGATAGATTATATAAGATTCAATTATAAAATATATACCAATTTCTAATCTAGAAACTTATGGAAATTCAGTGTGATAGAAAGAAGGGCATTTAGAAGGCACCCACCCTGCCTTAACATACACCACTTCTTGACCTTGACATATTTTCCTACCTGTTCACCAATAAACTACTAACATCTATATTGCTTTCTGGTTGGCATAATTTCTCCCGCATCTTCCCCAGAGCCACTCATTGCCGCCGGTGTTATTTAATCCACCTATTCTAAGTCAAATGTGAACTCCCTTGCCGTCGATGAGCATTAGGAAATAGTGGGCGCCGATGTGTCTACCCTATCCTATAATGCTAATAGAGACACTCACATCTAGTTATGCCTTGAAAGTATACAAGGTTAGTCTAGACTTATTTCTTTACAGCTACCACTGTTATTACTCCGCTGTCCAATTATAGCCCATATGTGCATCCTCTTAGCAGACCAACCCTCGTCTAAATAAGTTCGAAGCTTTGTTCTATCGCAAATTTTTGGTATTCTGAAAGATGTTAGGGCGCAACTCAGCAATACTCCAAACGAACCGACAAAAAGCTCGCTCCTGTTTGTAGGGTCAGTGCCAGGGGATAAGTGAAGCCAGTATGAATTAGGTATAGATCTACGTAGAATAGATATATAAGGGGCGCTGCGCGCCCTCATCAGAGTCTAGAAGGTCAAGCGTTAATAGATTTATATTAATATACGGCTACTATACAGCTGCTTCGCTTCTGCTTCTAACATTCACTCTACATATGACATCGATCAAGGGGTATCTCTGGCAGTCAGGAACCGGGATTTTCCCTCGTCCTTATAGTAACTTCAAAACTGTCATCCATATAAGGATGGCGCTTGGTCAAATAGTATTTGTCATGCTAAGAATATTTTGCGTTAGTTATCTATATATCTTCCCCCTTTTTTTGCTTTTTGCTTTTTGCCTTCGGTAGGTATCATAGGCTCTTGTTTGCGATTATGCGTCGTTTATAACCATTTTTCTGACCTGTCTTCTGGACCCTAATTTTTCGCAATGTTTGCGTCGTTATTGTGTCTTTTATATTGAAGGGTAGTAGTCTGATAGAGTAATAAGGGTGGTTTGAGTCGTTAGTTGTAGATGGGCGTTTTGTTCCGCGCTCACCTCATTCCATAGGTAGTTAGATTAGTTCTTGTTGCCAGTTTACTACTTGAACTCAGCATACCCCTCCTCCGTCATACTATAAATTTCCCTGAAACTTGGAATGAGGGAGTTAAGAATATAAAAGGAGGTATTTTTAGTAACTCTAACCCCTATTACCCCTTTACGTCCAGGTCAATACGGAATTATTAAGTGCGCACAGGGCGAAACTATAATTGTTTTAATAGCACTGAAATTAAAAGAAAATAATTTCAAATACAATGTAACAAACCTTGCTTGATAGCGAAAGTGGAATGTTGAAATAATTATGCCCAAGGAGTATGTCTGTTGTATAAATCTATAGTATTGGGGATAACCTGATTCCCCCATAGAACCACAAAGTCTAGATAAATATTCTGGACTTTCATTAGTATTTAGGTAACCAGCAAAAGGCCGAATTTCCGAAACTAAATAATGACTGAACTATTCGCTGCCGCCACAATATAGTCGTACATTCCCTATAGGGGAACAGGCTTAACTGGCTCTCTAAAAGTTTACGAGCAAATGGGTCGCATTAACTCGTTTGGCACGCCCCTACTTTCGAATGGAACTTGGGCGGTGGACTCCTCGAGTCTTTTATTGACAAAGGGCCGAATAGCTAGCGGTCCGGACTTGTAAAAAATACAAGGCAAATAAAAACAAGCATAAACCAGTACATTGGCTTTATACTGGTACTTTACTAGGATCTAGCGGTCAAAACCCTGATTCAATAACGTGCCTATCTCCTCTTCTATCTTTCATATGCTCCTTGACGAGATCAGGGCTCATTTGTCTCTGCAGAACCCACATGTCCTCACTCTCTAGGCAACAGTTCCACCCTACACGATACTATGGCTTTCTATTCCGTCTCCGGGTACTTGAAAACTTCAGCAGTCCTTCACACCCGAGTAAAAATAATCATACTCTACCTCAAACTTTTAGAGAACCTCGTTCAAGATACTTTCTCGAGACGCCCACCAATACCTGCCAATGTCTAACCATCTAATAAGGAACGGATTCCCTCCCCACCTCCCAGAAATGTAATTGATAGCATAACTTAGATTGCTACAGGCGTTAACGAGTACTAGTTCGTCGGGATTGGCATTAGCGGTTAGGCTAAACGGACTGGCTGGAAGCTCAATAACGCCTTCTATCGGTTCTGGGAGAATCTGATCGTTCCGAAGAGCTGGAGCGGTACGAGTATATGATCCGGGTCCTTCAGGGCCCCGCTTCAAAGAAACCGATCGTCCGGTCCCACTATAAAACGGAGGGCAGGTGCTTACTTACACGGAAGGTAGCCGGGGTAGACAGAACCCGGAAGGGTGGGTCCACATTCCGCCACGACGAGTCAACAGACACGGCCGTGCTGCATGTTCGATATTGTATATTTATTCATCATCCTTGATCGAATCAAAAATCGTATTCCTTTTCCAAGTTCGACGATATCACGCGCTTCCATCAAGGCCGTGCTTTATCTGTTCTATATATATACCTAGGCAGGTAACATTATAAGATAAATGTATATACAAGCCCAGGTATTTATTGGAATAAATAACGCTATCAGAAGCTTAGATCTCATAAATAGTAGATAGGACGTAGTTGATCTCCCTCGTCAGCCTCTCTCTAGAGCCGATATAGCCTCTTGGTCTGAGTAAAAGACGTTGGTGGGACTGTTAGCATACTAAGTATGCGCTATAGCTACGATGGCCAAGGGGCGAGCTCTGTCTCTGCCGAGAAGCGGACCATCCCCGCGAGAGGAGCCTCCCCATATAAGACTAAGGTTTGCGTTCTCGCGACTGACCCACTGAAAAGCGGCATTAGCTTCTCTATGGAGTGGAGGATGCCGTCAGTTTTTGGTATCCAAGCTGCGGGGCCAGCCTCTCAGCTGTCCGTTCTATGATTGCTACCATCTTCCTTTTGCGGATGGAAAGTAGGTTTTGAATCGCTTTAAGAGCTCAGATAAGGAGTGACCAATGTAAACATCGGACTTACACGCATGGACCACAGTAAGAGAAGGGGATAAAGATAGGACGTATGGCTAATATCGACCTCTTTTTGCGCACTTCGCTTCGGTAGCTAAGTCCTCTGTTTAGTAACAAGAGGATTGCGAACCTCTTTTACTATGGTTAGGTAGTGAGGGTCACTTATGAGCGAGGCAGGCATTAGATAGTTTCTAGATAGACCTTTCACTATCAACCATACCATCGCCTACCGTATTATAGACATTTTAATATTATAATTAAAGTAACAAAAATAAACAGACACTAGCCAACACACCCAGGCCCCCAACTACGCTGATAACAGACGGTGAGGTAATCAACTAAATTACTCGTATCATTCAAAGAAACACGGCCAATATAATCTTTAGGCGTTCTTCTCTCCCCGTGTCCGAAGATTACAACTTCCCGCGCCGTTGGTGGAAAGAGGCACAGTAGGCCACTTAGCACTAGTCCCACCGGAGCTAATATCAAGTTACTATAAAATAAGATGATATATATTAAACTTCATATAGTTCTTGCTAAGTCTCTCCGTGCCATTAAACGGGTCGAAAAGTCGAAACGCTCGCTAGCAACTTACCTACCCCTGATACCATACATGGCTGTCTTGCTATCCCACGCGCTAATATTATTCTCGAAGAAGCTATGCAAATTTACAGATAAGCTACTGGATACCTACCTAGTCCCCTGGATTCCACAACTACTCACTATCGAGTATCTTACGTGTGTTAGTAAATCCCTAGCCTACAGCCAACCTCCCCAGGAAAACGCCATTGCTTTTTTTTCCCCTCCCAACCCCAGGCCAAGAAAAGCATGAAGTAGGTAGTGCCGTCTTAGCGCGCTCCGACTGGACGGATCGATCCATTCATTGCTAGCGCGCCCACCTAAGGTGTTCCAGATCTCTATGGTGAATTAGCTAGCTGAAGGATCATTGGCCGAAGCTGAATAGGTATCGGGAGTTTTTACAGTAAGGTCCAGAACCGAGGTTTGCGGATTGGCCAAGATACGGGTCTGTGCCGCATGGAGGAATCGGAGATATAGTACCTACGCTTAGACGTCTGTGAATTTCTGATTACTAGTTGGGCGGGGAAGGGAGGGTTCGTTAGGTTTGGAGATTTACGTACCTAAGGTTAGTCAGTTACCGTAAGTTCGTTGATGCTTTTTCAGCTAGGTTGTAGACAGCCTAGCGAGGCATTTCTGGATGCCGAGATTATGCGGCTGACTTGGTTTGGGAGCTGAAAGCTACCTAGCTAGTATAACTTGGGCTGCCACGTAGGACTCGGACGGAATATGTAGTCAGACTCATGATTTTATTCGGATCGATGAGTCGGGCTTATTCAGTGCTCACTTTGAATGAATATTCGAGTTGGAACTTGCTTCGTAGGTATGAAGCCAGCTTAGGCTGAGATTATGATTATGAGTCTCACCTTTTTGTTTACCTAGGTACACATCTACAGTAAGCCGTCAAGCACAGGCCAACGTCATCTTCTCTTCTCTGAACCTTTCGGCCCCCAACGACGACTGTTATTTCGGATTAATATCATTTATGTAATACGGGCGCATCGCTTGTTAGTCTCGTGTCCGCTACCAGAGACCCGGGACAGCTGAATATATTGTTTATTGGTTCTACAAAAGCACACTATCATATTTCGTCACCAACTTCGCCCGTTTGTTTGTTTTGCGATATAGTTCCTCATTACAGTCTTTTGTCATCGCCCTTACCCTTTGAGGCTTGTGACTCAACTCTTAATAGCAAACACAAGTCGCGGCGGAGTACATAATCCATCCTAACGTGGCTGTGCTCTCTATGCAATTCTTCCTGCTTCCAACGCGACGAGAAGCAACTTTGCATTGAGGCCAGCTTCATACTGATGACCGGTGATTTCAATATGTTTGTTTATGACGAAAGCTAGGGGAGGACACGCTTCCTAGGCCGCTCTATCGGCCGCATGGCTTCGTCAAAATAGGGGCGCGATGTGCAATAATGCAAACAAATCCTATTCCGCGTATCCTTGATGGCCCAGACGATGAAGACCATGATTCCAGGGACTGACATCCTAATGACTCTTGGGAAGTGGATTAACTTAGTATTGCTCTCTTTTCCTCTCCCTCTTTGAGTTCATCGTGGAGTATCATCTAGGCCTGGTATTCGGTATTGTCCGATTATATAATTAGGATAGAGGGAATTGGCGGATTGCAACGAGTAGAAATCCACCAATTCCCACTGAGGCGAAATACCGATCCATGGGACCAGACAATCATGCCGCCCAAATAGGCGAGTATACGTAGATAAACCCAGCTCAAACATAGATGGATTTTTCTATACTCGGCCGAAATATGTGCATTGGCGCATCTTGTCGTTGAGGCCGAATTCTTTTCACCTACTTATCCCATTTCGTGCGATGCCTCCCCCCTCCCCCTCCCCCTCCCCCAAAAGAGCTATTTCGCGGCTCCTCGAAACGCGGAAGGATTCTTCGAGGCCTCTCAACGGTTTCGAGAAGCTTCATCTATTCACCTAGGTCATCCTCATGAATTTCCCCATACAAGGACTAGAAACCCATCGACCTGCCTTTCTATTCTTCCAGTTCTCCTCTACCCTAATATGGCAGTGTTTGTTTTGCATCTCTCGACTTTTGTGGAAGTTGAGGAACCCCGGCCGCGGAATTCTGCGCGCATCCGCTGTTGGCTTGTGCGATGAGGCCTGCTCACCGTGCCACGCCGTCAGTGCGTTTATAATACTCCACGTAACTCCAGGGCTGGATTCCTCCCTCGCATAACACCAGCTTGACGCGCGCTAATACATGCAATACGTACATACACAATACATAATTCAATACCTATACAATAGTTATATATTCTAAAAGTGGCACAGTTGCGCAGCGATGCGCCCAGGTGCTAACAACATGCCTTCCACTCCCACGCGTCAAAGGAAAACGCCAAGTAATTTCATTTCGCTGTACGAGTATATAGAAGCACCAACTATTAATGTCCTAATGCACAGGTAACAATAGGCTATCGATATTTCCAGACGACATTTCAGGTGCATATGTTTATATACTACTACGTCACCATGTCATAGGCTATAGACCCCAACCCCCCAGATGCACCTCTTACCTATTTCTGGAATATTTGCCGCGGCATGGGATCAGACTACAAATACCGGCGGTCCTGCGCTGAGGTAACGGGTCAGTGCAACCGCACAGACATTACCGAGAGGCGAGTTGATTGATAGGAAATTATTAAGAAAGGACCGATGCAACTAAAACGATCTTGCATATGTAAAATTCTATAAGTGGCATCCAAATATACCTAGGAATTAAAAATGATTAGAAACGTATTATGTACACCCTCTAGCGCTTATTGGGCACGAGTTTACTCGCAAGTACCTAGGTTAGAGGCGAGGAAATATAATCTACGGCTGTGGATCCTGCACTCGTGTGCCGCCGTATCTTTGCCGTTCGTGTATTAATTGTATTAATCACTCTAACAATCACAGTCAAAGAAAGAGGCATCCTTTTACCGAATGTTGAATTTCCATTTCAGTAAATTAGCTAGCTATTGGTCTCTCCGTCGGTCGAGCCGACAGATCCCATCAATGCTTCGATGTCATTAACAATCCCAATACCCGTAGTACCCAACCCATGAATTCATTTTTTGCTTCCCCTTGAGACCCGGAACTCCAGTGATCTGTATATTCCCCTTTATCATTGTGCCCCACAGGCAATCAATGCCAGAATGCATGCTACCATCCGCCACTCTTCCGTAGTACCTATTATGCCCAAGCCCGCCCTGTATCGCACCTATTGTCCCCATCCTATTATTAAGAAATGCTGTGCGTGTAGGTATAATGACGACAAGGTTCCACCCACTCTATGGGGAAAGCGGCAACAGTAGAGGTAATAATTCTTCAACCTCTTTTTGGCGTCTTAATACCGCTCGTGACAATTTGCGCCTTTATCCAAAATCCGTAACTCCTGGCTATAATGCACCGAAGCAAAACAAATGAAATAATTATCGTGAAGTGATGCCACCTCCGAACATGCGGCCCCACACGCCCCTTCCGGTCCTCGCGCGCTTTGTTTTAGCACTGCCGTCCTGAAGAGTTCGTAAATCATCCGCGCTAATCTCATATGGAAGTAGCTGCTTGGCATCCTTGCTGCGGTATCCCCTAAGGCGAGCCGCTGGCTGCGGCATGTCGAGGACCACTTCGACGGGAGAATCGTAGAGCGAGCCGTCAACGTAGGAGACATATCCGTCCCCCGGCTCTGATAGCGGTGTTGAGGACCGCGAGTGGTGCAGGGAAGAGACGGAAGAAGCGTAAGAACTGCCACTGCTGCTGGCTGACGAGCTGTAAACCAATCCTGGTGGCGTAGAAACATCCTGCACCATGCGGGCAGTCTCGTAAGGTAGCGCAGCTTGCCTTGATCGTGAGCTGTCGCGTGAGCTCGGCGGCGACGGGAGCTGAGTAGCAGCCCACTCTTCGGCCTCTTGTTGCTTCCGTAGCTTTTCCTTGCGCTGCATGCGACGGGCGTGCGAGGCCTCGATGTTGTCGCGGATGGGTGCCAAGAAGAGGTCCAACTCGCGATAGAGGTCCTCTTCGGTAATGCGCAGCTCCCATTCTAGTAAGAATAGTAACTGCTTCTCCATCAAATTAACTTCCGTCCGGCTGAAACCGAAGCTGTAGTTATCAGTGTTTATGTGGCTGTAGCCAGCCCAGTGCTTGTTCTTGGGTGAGCTGTCGTTAAGGTACTTCGCAGAGAGAATGAGCGCAGCTAAGAAAATCCGGTGGGTCGTGCATCGTAGACCCTTGGCCATGGGCTGCAGTCGAGACTTTAATCGTGTCAAGTAGACCAGCGTAGACATCAGAGTGGGCACCTGCACGTTTGAAGAACGGACTAGTTGTGTGATAAACTCTTCTAACGTCGGTAGGCTGCTGTCGTCGCAGCGGACAGCTTTTGGTGATGGCGTTCGCGGTGGTGTAAGAGATTGCGACTTGCTCTGAACTGGCGGGGGCATCATGGTGGGATCGCACTGGATGACATCGCGTGCTGCACGGGCCAGATATGCGATCATCGCCGGGCTTACTGGCTTATATACAAAGTGCTCAAGAGCGGCGGCGTTGAGCTCGCTCATAGGTATCCTAGATGTCGAAGACATTATGTGTGATGTGATGCGCGTTGCTAAGATGAAATACCAAATGTGACGATATCCGGCAGCGACTTGATATATTCCCAAGTGCAACAGCTAAGGGAAAAATAAATCCGGGGAAGCAGAGACGGGTGTGGTGGACAGTTGGTAATATATTAAACAACAACGGCGTATGACCGGGATGTTTGGTTGTGTGAGTGTGGAAGTATGCAATAGGATGGAGGATGTGGAAGGGTGTATCACGAGGCGGAGCCTATGGTCATATCAGACTGACAGACTGACTAGTAGGCGCAACGCTGAACGACCACCTAATTCCCACAAATTACTGTGAAGGGGTACGTCTGTGTGTGTGACGTGAGGATGGTCGAGGCTGAGCCAAAGTATCTAAAGTACTGGGATACCTGGCAAGATCGACGGCTGACGTGCCAAAAGACTAAAGTCAACTGGGCTTGGCTGGACTCGGAAAAGAAATGGGTATGTACCCAAATTGTGTCCCCAAATTGTGTCCCCAAATTGTGTCAGGGGTTATGTTGATTAGTGCAAAGCCTACTAAAAAGGAGGTGGCAGCAGCTAGTGGCAGGTGCTTGAATATGCAACTGCTTGTGCGGGTGCCTATGCAGGGGGTAGGAGGGAGGGGTCAGGTTCCCTATCTGGACTCCGGATTTGACCGGCAGGGGAGTTCCCAGTTGCCTAAGTTGAACCTTCAAAAGTGAAGGTACGTTACTTGTTACTCGTCCGTAAAGCGGGACTCCCGGGTCTGCCTCGGAATATCGGCGCTCGCTTCGTTAAAAGCTGTTAAAGCTTAATGAACTGTGTCTCGCCTCTCTCCGGACGTGGAGCAGATGGAATCGAATCGTTGCAAATTGCAAGATTCAATTAGTCGCAATATATTATTCTTTCCTTTTCCTCTTATGGATTAGGACTGGGATGATGAATCAATTGCCGCTTGTACGCGTAGTTGATATGTGGCTTCACTATTAAGAGTGGATTTCCTTTTTTCCCTTTCAGGTTGTCGAATGCGTATCGATGCCGTACCGATTGCGCAGACGATTTTAATGAAGATTAGTGCCTACGGTGCTTACGTGGATGTAGCTACCAGAAGGCGTTGAATAAGATCGGAAGACTGCCGAATATTTTGTAGGCGATGGCTCAGTTAACTAACCGGCTAGGCTTGAAAACTTGTGCTGCTCAGTAAAGAGTGGCGAGGGTGCAAAAGAAGGCAAGGTTCCCGAGCCGGCGGAAGACCTGGAGACTACTAGATTGGTTGGGAATGATCGCAAATGTTCGACTAACTCGAACCGCAAATAACAAGTGAGCCTTGTGGAGGAAGTCCTGGCAAAAAAATTATCTCCGGATGAGATGTCTTGCGTAGGCTGAATGGCCGTTGATGTGAAAAAAGACTGACGAATCTCTGGCCGTTTGCTGACGACTAGTGAAAAAGTGGCTCCCGATGGCTCCGAGCCTTAAGGCGCAGTTGGTTCGAGGTCTGGCGGGGTCTTATAAGAGTTGAATAAAAGACTTTTAGATGGATCGAGTCACGAGGACTAGTAAGATGACGCGCAAAGCCTCGTAACACTAGGAAGTGAATAATAATTCAAACCAAAACACGAAAAACTGCAACTTGTCGTCGGGTAGCGGTGTGACTAGCTGTGTCTTGTACTAGACTGTGTCGTGTCTTGTGTCCCAAAATATTACTTGGGTTAGGCTTGGGTTAGGGTGCAAGGCAAAGCCTGATATATAATACGATCTACCCAAGTGCTTTTTTATTATTAAGACCCGGGGGAGGGGGCAACTTTGTCGATCCTGTCAAGGAGATTGTCGTAGAAAAGAGGGGCTTTTCAAATGGTAGATTGAAGATATGCGATAGCAATTAATTGCCGAATAGTCCTGTTTGGGGGGAAGGCAATGATGATGATGATAGACTAGCCGGAGTCTAGAAGTGGGTTTCGTATCGTCAAAATCTCGTATCGGTCGTCAATGTCAACGTGGGTAGCTATCTGTCGTAATGATAAATAATCGGTTCCCTTCAATACTGTCGAAACAAAACCACACTTATTCCACACGGTGGATTTTCTTTTAGGCTGTCGACTAGCGGTGCTCTATATGATGAAAGGGAAGACTGATGGAAGGGATCTGGAGGGGGAGCAAAAAGGAGTGTGCGTCTTCAGATCTATATCTACTTTTTCTTGGTCACCTTTATACAGGGGGTTTTCTAAATAGGGTTCATATGATGGGAATCGTAGGTTCAGGCAAGGTATGCCATGTACATAGTGTACGTATAGATGGCTAGAGATGGCCAGAGATGGCCAGGGACCCAGTTCAACAACGTATCTTGCCTATTCGCTTTGTCTATTCGCCCCTAAGTTGGGATGTTTACAAACGTAGACCCCAAAAGGCTGGAGTCGCGATGATGTGAATGGCTGGCGGCTTACAACTCATCTAAGACCCGCCCGCCTACAGTATGCGCCCGCATATTCCCTTAGATTGAGACGGGTTGGGAATGACGGGAATGATAGAAGCGGGTGAGTGGTTCATTGGTGTAAGTGGTTCAGAGCTTAAAGACATGAAACAAGCGAGAGGGGTCGGGACTTAGGAAAGACTAGCGTACTAGAGGAGGCTAGCAGGCCAATCGCCCAGGGCCCCTGCCACAAGAAACAATGTAATAGCTGTGTACTACATTACCTAAGGTAGATAGGTATTGTAGATACATAGGTACAGGTACCTACGTACATATTGTAATAGCGCCTAGTTAGCGCTAGGAGTACCTGAAGAGGGACCACAGGCATTCGTCAGTGAGACCTTCAACATGCACATCGAGGTTCCAGTTAGCGCAATCATCTAACGGTACATACAGCCCAGGGTTTGCTGTAAGCCAATTGTTCAGTCCCTTTCAACCAATGGCTATAAACCATCCATCTTAACTTAGAATCGAAACAGCCCAGACAAACCACGAGCGAATGATGGATGGAGAACTGGTCGCTTCCGTTGCGACCTTTTCACCTTTTTGCATGGTACTTTGTTATACGCGTGTCTTGACAGTTGTCCGCACGTTTAACCATGTTTGTTGTTAGTATGTATGAAAATGAAAATGAAGATGAAAATGAAAATGGAACTAAACAAAATAAAAATAATGACCTACCAATGGACCTGCGTCGAGACATGGATCTGGGAAAATAGGTCAAAAATAGCTTACCGCAGTTACACCTGACCGAGGCCAATCAATCTTGCATAACAAGAAATAAGATAATATACCAAAATATAACTCGACCTTGGTAGAATATTGATTCACTGTACTCCGTTCATCTCGAAGATATCGTTGTCTATCTACAACATCTGCAACATCTGCAACATCTACAACTTGCTATGTATCATCGTGTTATCGTGTGTGGATTCGAGATCGACCTCGAAACGAAACGAACATGGGTTTATCACCCCGGGTCTTCCCCAGTTTTCTGTTCTTCGATGCCCAACTTACATAGTACGTGGAGAGGCCCTTGTTTGTGAGATCTTTGACCGACTCTTCCCACCTCCCACCTAGGTAAGACTTTGATGCATCTTCAAGCAGCGAGGTGTGCATATCGATACGATATCGTCAATCATCAATAATTGGTGGAATGCATCACCAGGATGAATAACACGATTATAGCCAATGGCGTGCTCTATGCGCTACTACGTCGTGGCAAGGCCCACGCAAGGGGCAAAGAAAACATTCCAATGACTAACGATAACATTATCGCGAGTGGTCTTGTAAACCGGGCCTGATATCGTTGCTACCATCTATAGACGAGCTCGTCACTCCGGCCCCTCCTATTTCCCTGCACGTATGTTCGTTTTTGATGATTTAACTAGGTTAGGTATCTCTTAACCCAGGTAGTTGTGGATTCAAATATGACTTTTACAAATATGACTTTTACGTATGGTATGGTATGGTATGGTATGGTATCATGACATAAAATCAACATATTAGTCGTGTTCATACATTGGGATTTACACATCTGTGCAGGCCCCTCCAATATCATCATTATGTATTTCCTAATTTGGACAATATGTCGCTGCTGTGGCGTTTCAAGATTTATCCGAAATCTCACTCCTACCCCTTGAATATCAAAATCGACATCACCAGTGACCACCAATATCGTTGGAATGAAGTTCCCCTCCAGTTAGTACCTAACTCCTTGATTAGGGAGGGGCTTTTGTACATAGATAGTTTTCCCCTCAGTCCCCCCCAAAGCCACACATTCTATCACTCAAGGTTCTTACATATGGCCCAGATGGCCTGGGGATGTTTTATCCAGCCCTAGCCAACGATCTTGGCCAGTGTCACAAGCGACAAAGCCCAATCACAATTCTCATAAGCATCGTCATCATCCCTGGTCTCCTAATTACCGCATCTCTCAACCAGGGTATTGATGAACGAACGTCGCGATGACTTGGCAGGCAGTAAAAATGCATACATACAGACATATCAACAATATCAGGTCATCGTATACATAGCACCCACAAGATTTTTAGACTAAAATGATTCGAGTATCCAGCAAAAAGAAAAAAGAAAAAAAAGAAAAGGAATGCATCGCATTTGACCGACAACTCTCAAGACTATACGCCGCACTCGGGCCGATCCATCCACAGCAAACCTTGCAGCTTTGAACAGAACTGTTCGGGCCAAGACTTCACCGCCGTTCACCAACATCTGAAAGACAATATATTTCCGCTTACAGCTATCCGTAGAAGGAAGCTGAAGATTACTGTACGTGGATACCTACTATATATGCATGTATCTGCTATAACCGTCCGTATTCCTGCCGGATAGCTGCCGGGCTGGAAAAGATGCAGGGACCAGAGTTACTCAAGTTCGGTCATTGGTTGCAGCCGCCTCGAATCGAAACAACCCAGGCCAAGTAGACAATCCAATGATGGAGAGTGCTTAGCCATTATACGGAAACTAGCAGTATTTCATGCCGTGTGGCTGATGAACCTAGATGACCTAGACCCCTTATTCTCCGGACCGGTAGGGATTGGTGCTCGGTAGACCAAATGGGAGGTGCAGATGGATCAGCCACGTATTCCGTACATCATGCCTCGGCCTCGCGAGGCGATAGACAGCGCATTCATACATAGTACATACATATTAACTAGTATGTATGTATGTTACTTAGGAACACATAAACAAATGAGGAAATCAAAAATTAATCTATCGTTTACACGTTGCACGTACAGTAGCTATTGCCCGCAGCTAACGGACGTGACGTTGCGACGATTTAACAGAATTATGCCTTGGATTAGAATAACAAAATCCCACCATCATGGCCTGATGATCTCAGCTGCTCTTACATCTTCGGCAGTATACTATCTATATAGGGAAGAGCATCGGTCGGAGGTTTACATCAAAAATGGAAACCAAAGGTGTGGCTCACGCTCTACGCAATGCAATCCAATCATCCCCTCAGTCAGCAGTCTGTTGAACCCTCCCCCGCTGAAGAATCGTCGATCCTCTTCCCCAAGCGGGAGCCAAGGCTGTGGCTTACTGCCTTACGATGTCTTGCGAGTCCCGCTTGGGAGGGCCTGTTCTGCTATTGTTCATCCCAACTCGGGCCTATCAATACCGAGAGCATCAGTTGAGCCACTGCATGTCGTAGAATTCTCCATGTCCGATGATATTTTAAGCTTGCCGCGTAGTAGATGGTGTAGTAGATGGTGCGTCGATGCCCCTCGTGAGTGGCTACCAACAACTCAGAAGCCACACACATGTAGCTGGGACGACATACCTACTGCATGTATGTTTCTCTCTGCCACTCGACTCAACCCGTGATTGCTCCGCTCCACCTATCGGCCGATGTACATACACACACCGCCGACACACTACACCCAAATGTTGAATCTCCGGGTGATTACATCACTGCAGCACTGGGGCATAATAAGCGACGATAATATTAACTGTCTCTCGCTCTGACAAATAGCCATTCCAGAAGGTCCCACCTCAGTCCCTCCGGCTGAGCTGCATGTCTCGACGGAATGGAAGGGCAGACTAGGCTTAGGTACGTAGTAAACAGGTTTGATCTCGCGTCTGTGCGTCCAAGTATCGATCACCGCGATCACCAGCTTCAGACAATAACAAAACAATCCAAAAGATATGCGTACGTGTCTCTGAAACACACAACATATGAACACGAGTCTGCTACGCTAGAAACCAGTGCGGCACAATGCTTCCAAACGGAGGCCTGGCGGCATTTTCGAGGCTGAGCCGGCTGCCGGCTTTGACAGCAGCAGCGCGCGTCTACCGGCGTATCATACCGCGGCATCTCTACGCGCCTGTCTATCGCCGGAAAGCAGCTATCCCGCCCGAAATGCTCCGTAATTAATCCAACTTCATCTCCCCTTCCGCCCCGCCTCGTTTCAGCAAGCGCAGTAAACAGATGCTTCCGGATCATTTCATTAAGCGCCGCGCTTCGATCCCATCTTAGCTATGTACATTAGGTATGTACTTAATACACGTACGTGCGCATGGAGCTTGCCGCCGAACCCCAGATTCCAGATTGTTTATTACCTAGGTAGTTATCCATACTGTTCCTACATATGTATGTATCCGGCGGGCGGATCCGCCCCCGGTCTATGCGCGCTTAATTCCCAACGGAACCAATCACGTAGTCTCCTTCGGTCCAAAAATAGCATCCCGCGCTTCCCCCTACGCAAGAGTGCCGGCGGTTCTAGTATGCTATGAAAAGCAGTGAAATCATTAATATAGGTAGGTAGAGTTGTAAAAATGGGCTCTTCGTGCAGACACCCGGATCCCTTTACCCGGCGACGCTCCGCTTCTTTACCCTCGGATATCTTCGCTGCCGGCAGACGGAAGATGCGCCTCCCGCTGGGCGAAGGTTGGTAGTCGTGCGCAGCATGTGGGAAGCTAGGTACATAAATATAGCGGTACGCGTACGTGGAAAATAAACGCTACGCGGGAGATGTCTAATGTATCTCGACGCGTCGCTTTTGTAATCCGAAATTAGACCCGGAATAGCTTAAGAAAGTAAAGCGTTGCGTAGATCCGCAGTCACATGCCTGCATTAGGTACCTATGCATAGTCTCGAGGAAGATACCTACAGGAATTGTATCGGATTTGCCATGATAGTGCCGGACTTATGAGTACGGATTTATCTACCTAATCAGGCTGACCTAACATCATATCGAGGAGCGACGTCCGGATGTCATGCCGTAAAAGTGGATCTCACCCGCTATCTGCCGATTGAGGCACGGCGGGAAGGCCGAATCTCGCTCCTATCACAACCATAAGCAAGAATTTCTACGTTCCATTGTCCTGAGATAGTGGTTTTCATAGTAAGCCTAATCGATGCAACGCATTTAAGTAGTGAGCCTTAGAGTCAACCTTGAGTCTAGACTTTTTCGAAGTTCTGAATGTGCTTACTTATGAAATTATTTACGACGAAAATGTCACGAGGTGGAGCAAGAAACATGGGGAAAACGAAGTTGTTCCGTAAGGAACTCTAAGAAAATTTTGAAAACCTATGGCTATGTATATTAAAAGCATCTTTTGTTCTAGATGTCTCATACAGAAGAGATCATAAGCATAGGTCAGACGAACGGTCGATACCAAGTCGGAAATGTTATATATTACCTAAAGTAACGAAATCAAATATTGGCAAACTAGAATTAATACGTCGAAGTATACCTCACTTGTAACTATTCTAGTAATATTTGTAAAATCCCGTACGTGAATAAGACAACTTACCCATATAAACCTAGTTAATGTCTCTCACCCTACGCAGCCCAGTGGTCTAACCTAAGCATTTAGCAGGCTGCTTTATTCATAATGAAGTTGAAAAATTATATAGGTACCTAAACACCCATATACAGAAGGTATACATACATGAAGCTATCCCCTAAACTAGCATAAAACAACACCGCCTTTAGTAATCGGCGGAGTACTCAATGTAGCGTTTAACGCGACTTATTAACATAAGGGGAAAACTTGCGATATGCCCCTATAATAAATACGATGGGCCGATTTAATAACGTAAAGCCAGTTTCTTTCCTGGTCCCTTTCCCTTAGTCACTTTCGATCTATTAATATTGAAAATAATAGAAATGCTGTCTTATACCAGTTTGGGGGAGAATGCTCAAAACATCGTACATCCCTATAAGAAGTAAACTGTGCTAGAATTAACAAACTACTTCCAAGGGGTTTTCATCAATCAAACTGCAAGTCCACCTTACTTATAAACATGACTACTACTAACTCTGTGAGATTACCTATTCATTCTCTTTCACGACGAATCATAGTTTCAGCAGTATGTGTCACTACACATCACAGCTTTCCATCAAAACCATTCATTTAGTCAAGACTTTTATTAGACTATTCTTAAACCCATATTTACAACGCTTAAATTGAATAGTAGTGCGCATCAAAATCGTTGATTGCAAGGTAAAACACCGCTTACACCAAAGTTAAATCATAAAACCCTATGTGGAGAATAGAATCTAGGTATCTCAAGAACGAGCCAGGTATTTCTTAAGCAATCTCATAACTGCCGTCCTCCTTTCCTGTCAGCCCTTATCACGAATCCGAATGCGCCCATCCCATGTCTAGCTGATCTTAAGAAGGTGAGCTTGGAAAGCCCGTGTCACCTTTTTATTCCTTCATCTTGACGTAATTGCTGGGGAATATGCCATGTCTTGAGCCGATCATGCCAGTCCTAAAACTATGTATTAGTACCAAGGCTTTAGTGAGCCGTACGGGCTAGTATGTTCTTACCACCAATCATTAGCACTATCAGTCTTTTTTAACACTGTAATAACATCGCCCTTTTTGAAACCCAAATCGCCCGGCTGGTCCGGTTCGAAGTTGTATAATGCAACGGCCTCATTCTTCTTCATTAAAGCCTGCTTACTTGTGAAATTCGGTTTCGGTGCCGCGGGTCTACCGGGACCGACCCGTCCCCCTTCTGAGTAACCACCTACAGGGGCTGAGGCTCGAGCGTTCACGGTGCCGGATCTAGCCAGGCTACCACCAGCGGCCGGTCGATCGTACACGTCGTCTTGCCATGTATTTGCGCGCTTCGGGGCACCGAACTCTTCCTGACCATTGTTATGCTGAGGTTCGCCGTAAGCACTCCCTCGTTGGCCATTCCATACTACGTCATCATGGCGATCTTCATAAACTGGAACGTCATTGTACATGGAATCGTCCATGGTACCTTGGCGCACGCCTGCAAATATTCTGGAATTGAGGACGGACATTAACGGCGCGGCTTGCGGTGGCGGTCGTACGGAACCTGTAAGGAGTTGTGCTGCTGTCCAGCGCTGACCGTATAACTTTTCGTTCGCGTCTCGTCGTTCCACAATCGCCGAGCCCTCTAGAGATACTCCAGCAAATAGACCTTTCGTTTTGCTATAACTGAACACACCCGCTACACTCCTCAGAGATGCGGCACCCGCGGCCTCTGCGTTTCTGCCTACCGGTCCTGCCGCTATAGAGACATTCCCACCTAGTGTAATAGAACCTTGCTGGGAGAAGGTTTTAACGGCGTGAGAATCGTTGAGAATAAAGACGAAATCGGTCAGTTCGAACCCGATCTGGCCACCGAAGCCGCCACCCGCGGTGATGATGGCCGATGGCGCAGACCACGTGCCGTCGGGCAAGCGGGCGACGACAAGCCCAGAACCAAATCGTGCAGACCCGAGGAAGCCGGCTTTGATGACAGTAAGGATCGCAAGGCCCTAAATATTTGTAAGCTACGACCTTTGCATATACGAATCAAGATAGCATCGCTCTCGGACGCCTCGCCGGAATGCGACGGTAGCTCACTCACTTTAGCATTCGCTAGGACCGACGGAGGAATTATCTTGTCGGGGCCGAACGCTTGGCGGGGATCGATGAAAGAAGTAAGAATCTTGCCACACTTCTTGCATTCCGCTATGGGAAGAGTGTTAGCATTTACTTTATAATCGTAGTAGCAAGTACCCGATCGCGCGAGAATGCGCGTATTCGTAGCTAGAAACTTACACGCCATAGACGACGGGATAGGGTTGTTAATACCCATCTTGAGATGGTTCTTAGTATCTCAAGTCGGAAAGCAATCTAATCCGGAAATTCCGAGTTTAAAGCCTTCTTGCAACGGTAAGGAATTAGGTATATGATGGTGAGTTGCAAACACCGACTGCGGGGGTTAAACTCGTCAAGTTAAATTGGACCTGTTGAGAAGGTGATTTTAAATGACACAATGTATTGTTAGGAGTATTGTTAGGATATATGAATCTATAACGCGCAACTGTTGCTACCTTATCTTTTGGACGTGGAGAGATGAATAGATAGGTACCTAGGTAGGTAGGTAGGTAGGTAGTAAGTAGGTGCCTGACTAAGGCTGGTATGTAATATTTGTAGGTATGAAAAACAACCAATATTAATGTCGTCAGCTGCAGAAGCTCTGCCACCTCGGCGGGGCAGGCGGCAACAACGGCAAAGCTCCAAGGCGCCAAAGACAACGCAAGGCTACGCACACAACCTTAATATGTATGCATGTAGGTACCTAAGGTACCGAGGTAGTACCTGACATAAATATTTGGGAAGGTACACTACTAGCATATACTTAGCGAGTACAGAATGATGAGGTCAGAGTTAGGACGGCCCCACGTACCACGAGTAATGAATTCCGAGCTGCCAGGCTGCTGGAAGCTAAAAGCTAGGTACCTAGGTAAGCTGGGGTAGATGCTATGTAATTCAAATGGCAGACGGTACCTATTGTACAATCTTGGTACCAATACAACACTGCAAGGATCCGCGGCACAGGGCTACATATCTGAATGAGGTAGAACGCTAAAGTCACCAGCCACAGTCTGCGTCATCTCTCCAACTCGCCTCCTTTTCTTGTCACGGAACCACCAAATTATGCTCCCGTTACAGCCGATTTTTGGGGTAAAAGAATAGCAATAATACACTTACGGAAAACAAAGACGACAATCAATCCTCGCCCACTCGGGGCCCTTGAGTATTAACGAACCTACAAGTAAAACCGCTCATTTCACGATCCTTTTAGCAGCGCATCGCAAGACCGAAAGAGAAAGCGGATTCCGATTCCACCGTGTTTCTACTACTTCAACCATCGAGATCAACATGTCGGAGGCGTACGAGCGCGAGCGTCAGAACAATGCGCGCCTGGAGGAGTTGTCCGCAAAGGTGTCGTCGCTGCGCGGCGTAACGGTGGATATTTACGACAACGCGAGAGCGCAGGACGTGATCGACAATACTGTACGGATGACCGCTTAACATCTATCTGCCCTTTAGGTACAAGGCTAACACTCAGCTTCGCATCATGTAGTCCGATACGTTTTCCTCCATGTCGTCGCAGCTGAAGGGATCCGCCGGTCGATTGGGTCGTATGGCAGCGTCGGGGAACAAGGTCGCTATTCTGAAACTCTCGGGCATTCTCATCGGCGCCTTTCTCATACTATACTATATCCTCAAGTGGATTTTCTGATTGATTACCCTACGGATGAGCACGTCAATATATGCGAACCGGGAAAAAAACGACCAAACTCTTGAGGGGAGCCAGGTAGGCTATTGTCGAATGATATGGTATACCATTAGTCCTTCACGCGAGCGCCGCGGATGTGGACCCTTTAGATTTACAACCCTTTTTGGATGGTGTAGGGGTTCATGAAATGAAAGTGGCGGGTGATTGCATTGCACTTGGCTAAAATGACATGGATACACACGACTTAAAGGCAATGCGATGGACCTGCAATCTGTGACGGCATGCCCAGACGGTATCGGCAGCAAGTATTTAATAAAACGGAAACACAAGTCAAATTATTGTTTATTCAATATGGAAGACTTGCAATTCTTGTAGCATAGCACAGGCGTTACGGATTCGGCCTTCTTGGTGTCAAGTAGGTTATTAGCGAGTAAGAATTGGTCCAATAAATTTATCTTAATTGGCTTTACCTTATGTGTAAAGCTCGTATTTGACAATTAGCTTTGTAAGACCATGCATAGCGAGCAGTCGTAGCGATGGCCAACTTAAAAATTGACAAACCAAACCCCTATTCCGTCTGATCTCCTAGCATACCGGGCAGCCGACCGGCAACTTACTGCCAAACATTAGAGAATAGATCATCACCACCAAATCCCCCACCAGGTTTTGATCCGCCGTTGTTGTTGTTGGAATTTCCACCTGTGCTACTAGTCCAACCTCCGAATTCCTCGTCCGCTGCCACCTTTGGGGCAGCAGTAAACCCTCCAGAGGTACCAGGCACTAAACTCTGACTAGCAAATGATCCGCCGGTATTGCCCCAGGCGCCAAAGTCATTACCGCCGCTTATAGGGGACTTAGCTGCTAATGGACTCTTGGGAGCTGCAGCCGGACTGGGTTCAGGAGCACTCCACGCATTCCCCCAGACATCCGAATTGTTAAATGCAGATGTGCTCAAAGAGGCGGTCGTACTTGTAACTGGCACTGGTGCGGGGACCGGCTTTGATTGGGTTGCGGAGAGGTTGAAGATAGAGCCAGTAGTTGATGAAGGTACAGGGGTTGGCTTAGACGGAGCTGGTTGAGCAGGAGCAGACCAGTCAAAGAGATCGCCCAAAGCTGCCGAAGAAGATTGTGTTGGTTTTGACGGAGCAGCCGGTGTACCAAATGCGCCGAAGCTGTTAGATGGCGATACTGAAGGCCTCGGCTGCTGCAGTACCGATTGAGCGGGCTTGGGGTCAAAGAAGCCACCCCCACTGAGGCCAGAGAAGGACGAAGCCGCAGGCTGGGGGGTAGATCGGTTGCTCGATATGTTCGATAGACTAGCAAATGCATCATTCTGTGGACTCTTCGGCGGTGGTACTTTTCCAAAACTCAAGCCAGCAAAAGCGTCTTCCAGCCCCCCACCGGTTGACTTCTGAGGTTGGTGTCCCATTGTCGGGGATTGCAAAGGAGATTGCATCGCTCCAAACCCCCCGAATGGTCCAGAAGAGGAGTGTGACGGCTGCTGTGGCGCTTGCTGAGGCCGTGGGGCCGAAGCATAGAGAGATAGAATAGACTGTTTGAGGTCAGGCCTCGATTGACTGCCTGTTCCACCCGCGTTATTCGTACTTGCTGGGCGCGGAGGTGCAGCCGGCGCTTCGCCGAAAAAGTCTAATCCCAGGAGAGAGTCTTTAGTGTTCACTGCTTTTGGAGGAGCTGGTGCTGACTTGGGAGGAACTTGTGAAGAAGCTGGGCCGGCGGTACTCGCTCTCGGAGGGATATCGTCGCCACCAATGAGATCTGCTTGGGGAGCTGGAGGTGCTATACCACGCGGCGCAGCTTGTTTCCCGACGGAGCTTTTCCGAATTGACTCCTTTCTGTCTAAACTTTGCTTCTCTTTCACGATGCTTAGTGGAACGTCGTCATCACCTTCAACATCTAGGCTCGCAGGATCTGGCATCGGCCCATCCATTACCCATCTCTTAAGTTCGTATTTGGTTCTGATGAAGTTCTCGATCTTTGCTTCGGAGGGGACATGGCCAGTAGCCAGCTTCGATTCCCAGTATTTGTTGGCGCGCGCATTGCCCCAATTCAGGATACTCTGTAGTTGCTCGTCTGTCCACGAATCCAGATCAACAGACTTGACTCGCGATATGTGGGTACCCATCCCTCGATGAATTCCTGAGCAGCGAATGCAGATAAAGACACCCAAGTTCCAGCTCGCCCATCGCGGATCTATAATAAAGCGTGAGTCCGGGAGGTCGGTATTAGTAGACGAGGCATATTTAAGGGGACACACGTTTATTTCGTTTGCAGTCGGCGCATATCTTGTTGGAGTCTAATTTCAAGAGACTCTTAATGGTTTGTTGATTTTGGGCTGCTCGTTCAGCAGCTGGGTTGGGAGGCCGTCTAGACATGGCGTGATCGTTACCGACAACGAACAGGAATATATGTGAAATATGCGAATTATCAAGTTGGCAACTTTGTGGACCAAAAGTAGAGGTATGGAAGTAGGTGGCTGGAAAGGGGTGCCTGAAAGCAGAGTTGAAAGGGGATAGTAATTGATCGTGTGGCAGTGATATGGAATTCTAAAGTGCAAGAATGGAACGAAGTGCAATGAATGAAACTGTGGCTTTCCTCGATTTGGTCTTGGTCTTAGTCTTGGCCTTAGTCTTGGTCTGAGCGTTCAAGTACCTACGTAGTTATTACATAATAGTACATGCCCACCTAAAGAGGTAACTGCCCGCACACTGCATATCGGAAACCGCGGTTTTGAATTAATCCGTTATCTTTGTTCTTGATATCTAACCGAGGACCCTGCTCATATGTATGCACATGTAGTAAGGCTGTGGGGCGCTTCATGCACTAAAGCATTCGAAGGCAGGTCGCTGACGACATCTGCATATGTAATTCCATCCATGTCTTCGGTAGCGCGGCTTTAAAGCATTTCTTATACTACAACTCATACTACAAACTCAACTTCCTCCAAATAGCGAAACCGTGATTCCAAATCATAGCATCAACTCTCACATAATTCTATAGTATAATTCCAATTATTAATGCCATCAACGGATATATAAACCTATTCTCATATCATCACAACTAATGCGATTATCCCAATTCTCCAACTTATTCCGAGCTTTCTTTGCCTTTTCTACCCCGACTAGGCTTCGTCCTTTAGCTCATCAATCACTACGCCACAACACAACACCATTGAAGTCTATGCCGACTATTCCCTTCATAGGAAGTCTGTTCGGCTCAAGCTCTAGCCAATCAAGCAATATGTCGTATCCGGACCAGAGAACACCTGACGAATGGCGCGCTGTTCTTACTAAAGGTATATCCGGGCTTCTCCCAGAATGAACATCGCCCCCATCCGCGCTCGGGCACTTACTAACTTACCCTTCCCAGAACAATTTAGAATTCTTAGAGAAAAGGGTACCGAGGCGCCAGGGTCTGGGAAGTACGATAAATTTACCTCCAATTCTGGAGTATATACATGCGCAGGTTGTAATGCGCCTCTATACAAGGCAAATCACAAATTCAAGTCTGGCTGCGGCTGGCCGGCATACTTTGACAGCATTCCCGGCGCTGTAACAAGGCATACTGATAGCTCATGGGGTATGGAAAGAACAGAGATTTGCTGCGCCAATTGCGGTGGTCATCTTGGCCACGTCTTCAAGGGAGAAGGATATCCAACCCCAACAGACGAGAGACACTGTGTTAACAGTATCAGCTTAAACTTCTCTCCAGAAGATAAACCGACTGAAGGAGGAGAGAAATAGAATAGGGTCAGTATCTTGGAAGTCATATTGAAATTCTCTCCTTGTTTTTAGGGAGTAAATATATAGTAGTCGAAGGTATAAGATAGATACGGCTATTCAAAAGCGATATTACTATTCGTATACTGCCTGTATTTTGTATGAATAGTTTAAATTTTCAATCTGGAGTATCGTGTGTCTTTTGCTGACAAGATTAGAGATAGGGGCGTGTCGGGTGCTCTTCCTGGGGAGCTTGTATAGCGTTTGGGCCTCTTGCATTCCCAAATATAGTTAAGAAAGGCTTATTCGGTTGCTGTCAACGGTCAAGGCTTTTACATACTTCTCACCACCTACCAAATCTTCATCTTAAAACTTAAAAGAATGGTGAGCTTACTCGTATTCGTCGTCTAGCAGTATGAATTATTTTGAGGATAATGACTAGAAACGGGGCATCGCAAAGTGCCTTCTGAATTTTATAGTGCTTGCAACCGTATAATTCTTATCTATGCAAAAAGAGAGAACTTCCGGGAGCAACTTCTGAACCTAGCACACTAATAATCATAATAATAAACTTTCATTTTGGTCCCAAAGTCCCAAAGCTCCAAGCCCTAAATCAGCCCGAGCTGTTTCTTGCCCTGTCTCTAAACAACAGAATAATTTTCCTTCATATAGGGCATAGCAAACCTTCCTCTCTACATTATCTATCCCGACTCTTAGAAGTCATATCTCTATTTTTCACCCAAACCAAACATACTCATCATTCAAATATGGATAGCCAAAGCAGAACCGCGACTCCGACCCCCAGTCCAACTACTGATTGGACTCCCAAACTATCTCCTACCACGCCCGATCTTTTCTTTATTCCTAGCAAACAGTCTCAGGTGAAAGATAGCGCTCCAGGGGCATCGGCCGAAAGCACTCCAGTGTCCTCGTCAGGTGAATCCATCGCAGACACTGCAGTATCGACACCGTCGCGGTCACAGCCATCTCCAGAACGACATGGTCTAGCATCGGCATTGCCAAGAGTCATTATTATTTATCAGAATGGTTGCCATTCGAGATTGCGCTCCATTTACGACAAGGAGGATCGCGAATACATCTACCATTACGACAGAGACGCGGATAAGCCGATCAGAATGGCATTTGTGAAAGGCCAAATCGAGTCCCTCCAGGATGTCCACACCGGTCGTTTCCTATACATTCGCGGCATCACACATAAAAAGCAAAACTAGGCGCCAACGACAGTATTATTCTCCTTACTCTACAAAGAAGCATTAGGTACTTAATCCTCCCCCCTGAAATGCTTGTGAGTCACCAATACGGCGTATACTGACTACACATCGATTCAAACTTTAGCGAATACAGTCATCAGCTATACTTTGGCTTGATATTTTATACTTCGGATGGAATCTGTCATTTACATGCACACATCGTGCGGACGCATTACGACTAGCATGGACCATCAAGCCTCGCATACCATCATATATTCATTTTACAATCACCCCAAGCAGTGAAAACTGGCGTTGGGGTTTGTTTTGGGGGGGATTGTTGATAGCACGAGGCCCAAGCCTATGGAGGCGTCAAAAGCGTTAGATGAATATGAATGGGTATTCGTTATTGCACATGGATATCTTGAACCTTTAACCATAGCCAAGCAGTTTCTTAATATAGCATTTCTTTTTAAAGTCTTTAAATTCTATAAAATCAAACTTAGCATGCGAAGATTTGTCTAGGCAAATCTAATCCATTGTCTTGACTTATACTTTACACCAGTAAAACTGACACCTATCAAAATGCTCACTAAGATCCTCACTTGAGCGATTTTCACTACTGCAGCAACAATTCCAAAGAGTGCGGTAACATTATCTACAGACTATATCTGGGGTATCCTTAAGTGGCAAGCTGGGCAGTCTCGCGGCGCCCCAACTGCACCGCTGATAGCACACTACGGCGAGTAGCTTTGATTATCCGACCTCAGGCCACTGATCTCGAGACGGTTTCGTAATTCATCTGTGCTAAGCATTGACTAGGCTTCAATGTATTTATGTCCGAGTACGGTGGCGGCCCGACTCGAGTCCCAACTTTTTGTGTGCATTGCGCTGGACATGCTGATGGGAAGCCCCTAAGTTCGGAGTACACGAACTGTGGTGTGGGAAAAGTCGATGAAACTGCCAGCGGCAAGACCTGGAGCCCGCAGCCATGTTTATTCTCTATTTCTTTCCATATATAATACTTATAACTGTTGAAATATAGATCTACCAGAATTATGGTAATTAACTCTAAATATTTTTAGTTTACCAATGACATTGGCAACTATTCGTTCTAATATAAGTATATAAGTACATGCCAAGATAAAGAACATACCTATATAATAGAAGTTTTCTGAATCTCTTGGCTCTGGTGAAACATTACAGCTACTAATCGGACTGGAACTCACGCAACTTCAGTAGGCACCACGGTAAAATTATGAGGCGGCCTCTCCCTTGCCCAGTCTGCCATAATAACGACAGTAGAGTTATGCCGTGTCTGACTATAATATAGAGTATACCCGTTGCTATACATAGCTCCTATTGGTATAAACAAAGTTTTCCCCGTATGATATTGATACAGTAACGACTTCCAAGATAATCTTATTTGTTGGCTTTGACCGTAACAGAAACTGATTTATCTCCAATATGCACTTTCAGTTGTGTCACTTCTGTTCGGCTGGAAGTTGGCAGAGGGGTGATGGTTTTCTTACTGTACGTACTATAGCTCGAACTTACAATCTTAGCCATCACACTATTACACACACTTAGATATTTGGCACTTAGGTATATATGACAGATCGTACCTTGCACGCGATAGATGTCTAATTGGGGGTTCTATCTACTCTTGAATTCTTTTCATTGCCCCAAAAGGCCGAAAACGACCAAATATCTCAGGTGCGCAGACTCCTTAACCGCCCAAATTACATCCGCAACGCGAACACAGTAATACTTCCCAAGACCAAAAAAGCCTCTGCCATCGCGGTGACCATTCCGATCCGCAGGCTACCAGGTGCCTGCGACCTATCATCCTAGCTATTCTTGGGTGCTCTACCGTTGTAGTCGACACCCGACTCGGCAGTGTAGTCGCCGAAGCAGTCGTAATCGTAGTCGATCTCGTCGATGCGGTCCTTGAGCACCGACACCACGTTGTCGAATGCGCAGAGCCCGTGCGGGTCGACAGGGCAGCCGGGGTGGGTATCTGCGACGGGGATGACGGCGTCGTTTCTAGGGAATCTATGAGCATATTTCGTTGCATGACAATATAGATATTGATGGAAAGTGGGGGGAGACTTACACGATGAACCTGATCTGCTTGGTAGGTTGGTAGGTTGAGCATTCGAGAACCTGAGTGGTGAAGTGAGTAGCGAATGGAACGAGCTTGCTGGATGAGAAGCTGTTCTCTCTTTGGTTTCCTTTGGGGTTCAGAGGGGGTCCTTTGAATAATGCCGACAGGTTGAAAGCGGTGAGGGTGTCGAGGACGACAACTTCGTGGGTGGCATCGGCATAGATGGACTGGTTGAGGGGGAAGTAGGTTGACGAGTTGTCGAACGTCTGGTTCAGGGCTGACCAAGCCTCTGGGTATTCACCTGTGAAGCGCGCGACGAATTCCTGTAGGTAACCTTTGCCCTGGGCAGCCGCAACAGGTGATCCGGGACCGTTTTCGTAGTAGAACATCTTGGATGGGTTAGTATACTTCGTTGCCAGAAAGTGGTGGGGAAGAAGGTCGATATGTTACGACATACAAGATCATAGTAGTACTCAAAGTTCAAGAAGTCCTCCTGGCTAAATAGTCCACAGAACGCAGAGTACCCAAGGGCATTGGTTTCATAAGCGCAAAGCTCAAGCATCGCAGTGATGTCGCTGGGAGTGAACTCGATACCGGAGACCTTAAACATATCAGTAACCTGTTGCTTCCTTTTATCTTGGAATATTTAGTAGGCTCACCTGTGAGTTCAGACGAGCAAGGGTGGCGTTGAAAGCAGTTTTCGCAAATTTCGAAGCCATGGTGGTCCCAATGCTCCCTCGACTAACGACATTGGCATTGTCGCAGACATAGTAGGGGGCACCCGAGTTATTCACGCCTGGTGCTTCTACAAGAATCTCGATGTTCACCTGATCCAAGTACTCAGGTACACCGAAGAAGCCGGCGGCGAAGTTCTCGGTAGACTTAACCATACGGTCCTGAGACTCGGTCCGGAAGACGGGAATAGTACCAGCTTCGGTAAAGTTATTAAGCAGGTGGCCGTAGAGTTGGCGGTGCTGAATACCGAGGAGAAATTCCTGGCTCCTACCGAACGGGGAAAGTAGTTCACCACCCAGCTTATAGGTCCAGTCGGATAAGAATGTTAAGTCACCCTTAACCTGCAGCCCTTTCTTAGTAGCATTCACAATCTTGTCCGCGAACTGGGCCGGCGCGGCGCCGGTAGTGGGGTATCTGGCACCATGGCGATACAAGAGGTGTACTTGAGTGACACTGCAGCCCGGCGGTGCGAGGGGGCTTGTATCTGGCAAACCAAAATCGGCAGAAGATAGGGAATACCAAGGTGACAAGTTGCCCCAATATTTGGTGATATCGAACTTGTCCGATGTCTCACTTTGGCCGTGAGGCTGCGGTGCGATTAAAGGGAACTGGTTCGTCGGTCCCCGATTATACGGATAGGCCGCCGCGGTTTGAATTGCGGCGGGTTCGGCACCTGTTGGTGTCGGTCCTGGGAACCCGACTTCAGCCTCTGGTGGGAAGAGTGCAGAGTCGGCCGAGGCTTATCTTTTTGTTAGGAACTAACCGACTACATACCAGGGTATATATTATATACATAAATATTATATACCTATGTAAGGTAGGTTAATGAGATTAGTAGTACGTACTGCTCGGTGGTGAAAAGAGGTCCGAAGTAGCTGAGCCGGCGTGAGGGGAGGCCGTGACAAAGGCGGTATCGTCAGCCGCGGTACTGGATCGAACCAGCAGGGCTGACAAGATAGCGGCGGTAGTAACAAGCTGCATCTTCTTGTCTTGGGACTTAACTAACCTACTACCTAAGCTCTAGCTGAAATAACAGGAATGCCAAGTGACGGGTTATTAAGAGCTTGACTAGAGCTGCCAAAGCTTGATTCTTATAGGTGTTGCGGGAAGAGCACGCATTATCATCGATTGGCCTATCAACAACACGGATAAATACGTGTGCTTGGCTATGCGCCCCTGGATGTTGATCCTTTCAATTAGGATAGGATCTGATTGTGAAATACGGGCGTTTTTGGTCCAATAAGAGGCACAGCATCGTTCCGATAGTGCGGAACGGAACCCAGCTGAAAAGGGACATATATGGGGAACTGCTTTGAATCTTGCATGGTATGATGATTTATAGTTAACTATGACACATTGACGATATGTTTATTTACCTGTTAACTACCTGTAGATAAACAGGGTTGGGTAAATATGTGTAAGTTGGTTGCAGAAAGAAGTGGAAATTTGATGATATAGGTTAGGTACATAGGTAGGTACCTAGGTATTAATTAAAGGAAGAAGAGCTATAATTGCTTCTTCTCTAACTAGAACTAGCAGGCGATTAAGGTTATATCATTTTACCTAGTAAGATCGGCCTGAATTCTCCCCGGAAGATACCTAGGATCAAGGTATCTTGTAATGTCATAAATGCCATTACTTAATATATGCGACACTTATCTACGCTACCCCGGTATTCCTCATATCTCGGACCGACGTCATATTCCCGTGCCTATCCCGAGTGTTAATCGTAAACGCTATCCCACACTGGGCGCTTGATAATTCATTAGACAGTATAAACGCAACGTTGTTTTTATTTTATTGTCAACTGCATGTTCTATATACCGGCTAGTTCGGTCTGCCAAGCTAAATTTGCAGTCGGACTAGACTACCCTTGCAATTGTTGATGATGGCAACACTCCAGGTCTGAGCTGCCCGCCAAGAAACTCCTTATCTTGTGTAAAATCTTACAAGATCTGGTAGTTGTAATACTTCTGGTGGTTGGCCTGCTTGCTAAGTGCCCATTCCTTTTGTCTCGCCGCCTTATGCTCTTGCTTACGGCTTCTCTGCTCGGCACGAGCCACTTCCTTCTTCTTCTGGTCTGTCACTCCCGACATACCACTTCCACCATTCGCTCGGCTTACAACGGCACCGTCACGCCCGCGACCTTCACGTCGAGAAACCTGGCCGTTGCTGTTCTTGG